GTCCCTTCAAAACCTTCATTTTATTCATGTGCAAATTTAATGAAGGAATGCGGAGAAGAATTGTGCGGTTCCTAGACGGTGTCAGCGCTGGGACTTCGGTGGAGTGTGTCTGCGGCTAAACACCAGGGCTGGTGGGGTGGTGGAGAGGAGCTGAGCTTGGGAGGATGCGAGCGGGGCAGAAGCTGGGTACTGCGGAGGCTGGATACAGGGTCAGGATCGAGGCGATTGGAGAGGGCAGGGAGCAGGTGCCTGGCCAGGTGTGGTCCGACTGAAAGCCCTGACAAAGGGGGCTCTGGAAGGAGTCCCGGCATGGCCGAGGCTGAGGCAGGACTAGCAGCCGGACGAGGAATGGGATGCAGCCTGAGAGGCCAGGCAGCACAGGCAAAGCTTTGGTCAACCCTTTCCCAGCTGCACAGCTTCACTGCACGGGCTCCAGTCCTTGCAAGTCGTGGCCCGGCTGCTCCCGGTGCTGCGGGGACTTGCCGGGTGGCTTGTGCTGCTCGCCGCAGGGGAGCCGGGCCCGGGCTTTGGATGCTTGCAGGCCGACGCGTCGGGGCCATGGGGCAATCCAGACTCCTGCGCCCCCGGCTGGGGACAGCGCTTCAGCATCAGAGTCGGGAATTAGAGCCCCACATTTCCTAGCACACCGCAGCTGCTTGGGAGACCTTTGTCGGTTGTGTGAACATGCCTGACTGCGGTGATCATAAGAGACGTAACCCTTGGTGCAAGATGGAGAAGAGGAATTGGGCATTTGGCCCGACCGGTCAAAAAGATGTGGTCAATTAACTGGTCAGATATTGTCCCATAATGGCAAATAGATGGCCAAGCCATTCACTTCGTGAGAGCAAGAAGAAGCTAATCTAATCGCCGACAGATCAGATGTTTGCACAAAGTGCAAAATCGGTTTCATGAGTGTCGTTGTGAAACAGTGAAAGTCACGGTGTAAATCAGATGACCGGTCTGCACTTGTTTGTCAGCCAGCCCTTGAGCACGTGAGAAGAGCCCGCTGAATCAGAGCCAGGTCCATCTAGGCCACTCTTCTCTTCATAGGATCCCACAAGTAGGATCTGTCTGGAACAGCACCCTCCTACCCATGCCTATGTTCCCCAGCAACTGGTGTACGTAGGCACTCTTCTGCAAATTTCTTCAGTCCCCCTTTAAAGCTACCCAGTTTGACTGTATCTCAAGGAACTGAATTCCATAATTCAGCTCTGTGCCATATGTACTAACTAACTAACTAACTATTTATTTATTTATTTAAACATTTTTATGCCGCCCCATTTGCCAAAGCCTCGGGACGGCTTACAACAATAAATTTAAAAAATTATAGTATTAAATTAAAAAATATAAGCATTAGATTAAAAATACAAAAATACAATATAAAATAAGCCGCCCTGGCCAGATAAAATCCATCTTCCATCCATCTCGATTCTCCCACCAGTAGGTTTCATGGGATGACCCCTGATTCTCGCATTATGGGAGTGGGGGGAAGCTTGCCCTCTCCCCTTTCTCCACACCACGCATAATTTGGTCCAGCTCCACCTTCTCTCTTCCCTCTCCCTGTTTTCTAAAGCTCTTGATCCTTCCTCAGTGTGGAGATGCTGCAGCTCCTTGATCCTTTTAGGTGGCCTTCTCTGCACTTTTCCCAGCTCCTCAGCTCCGGTTTTAGGCCACTGCATGCCAATCTAAGTGCATTCACAGCATAGATGAGACCAAGGACAGGATGACGCTGGCAGTTTTATTTTCAGTTCCTTCCCTGGTTATGCGTACCACAGCGTTGGCCATTTTCACATGCGGGGCTGACGCTTCCCCCACGCTGTCCACCACAACCCCAAGATCTCTTGCTCAGTCACCCATAAGGCTTCTTACAAAAAATGAGCAAGTCAAAAGGAAACTGTGCCGTCTGTCATGTTGGGAAGAATTCTAACTGCCAAGTGTGAAAGATGAAGACCACATCAAGACAACACCCAGCCAGACATGCTGCTATGAAGTGTTGGAGTGAGTGAAACAGCACATTTTCCCCTTGCACCCTTATAAACACCACAGTTAAATGCACAGGGGGAAGAGGTTCAGTTGCACCTGAATTGCAGGAACTGCATGAACAAAAGGTGCCATAGTCCAGCGTTGCCTCCAGCCTCCCTCCATATTATTATTATTATTATTATTATTATTATTATTATTATTATTATTATTAACATTTCTATGCTGCCCCTTGCCGAAGCCTCAGGGCGGCTTACAACACAATAAAATACATTGAAATACAATAGAACATAATAAATTACCACTAAATACAAAAAATGCACTGAGATACAAACATAATAATATAAAATTAAAATTAAACAGTATAAAATAAGTAAATAAAGAATATAGGAGGAGTAAAGAGAAGGAAGAAGAAGTTGCCCTGGCCAGATCATATATTTTAACAATTAAAATGATGTTTAAATAAAAAGGTCCTTACCTGGCGCCGAAAAACCAGTAACGACGGTGCCAGGCGGACCTCTTTGGGGAGTGAATTCCATAGGTTGGGTGCCACCGCAGAGAAAGCCCTCCTCCGAGTACTTACTCTCCTAATTTCTTTCATGGAGGGTTCCCGGAGAAGGGACTCTCCCGCAGATCTCAAGGGGCGGTTGGGCATAGAGCGCAAATAAGAACCCTGAAAGGTTCAGCATCCAGAAGGATGCGACAGATGAGAGCAGATGACAGCGAGAAACAGTCCCCCTTCATCAAACTCCTTCTTTGGTCTCATACGTTCCCATGAGAACTGCCAAGCATCAGTCACTTTGTCGGACAAACAACTGGAAGAAAGGATCTTTGGGCCAAGCAGATGAAGAAAACAGTGGCCTGGAAGGTGGGCGATGGCCCTGGGCTTGGGGGGCTCTGAAAGGGAGAAAGGCCGCTCCATGGAGGAGAAGGCAGTCCATGGCTGTGTATTGGCCTGCTGGCTATATAGTACCTCCCACGTCAGTACCAGTTGTGGGGGAATATGGGCCAGGGAGCACTTGACCAGTCATCCCCTGCCTGTGGACCTCCCATCGGCTGGGCTCGCCCTCATTGGTTGTGCTCCCTCGGTTCATCCCATGCGCCATTGATTTTGTTCAATTGCTTCGTGTGCGTCAAACGTTTGATTTTAACTCGGTTTAAACATGGTTGCGCCTAGCTGTGGTGTTTAACCATGTTAGGGAAGGCTTTCCGAAGCACTTTTCTTCTGGGACACCGTCAACCTGTGCTTGTAAATGGTTGACAGGGGTTATTTGGAAAGAAACAGGCTGATCAGGCAGCTGTGTGGCTATTTTATTCTCATTGTCCTCGGTCAAATTGCACGTGGTCAATCGAACAATATTCGACCGGGCAATTGATCGGCATGCCTGCCTTAAGTGGGGCAGTTTGCCCTGAGCTGCTCATCCAGGGGGCAGTTCATAACCCTAACTGGGAACATGAGGAGTCCGTTTGCTCCCAATATTTGTGCCCAGGTAGGTAAACCGTTTTTTCCCAAGGCCAGCCAAAGAGCGACCAATGCCAATGGCTTCCGGAACAAAGAGCAGCGTGCAGCTTCGTAATAAAAGGCTACCATTTTAGAGAAACGTGCACTGGGGTTTATTTCGTCTTAGCTGCTCCATGCTGCTTATGGGCTGTTCTTTGGAAGACACGAGGTCTGGACTTTTGACGTTCTCTTTCTGCCTCTGTCACTGAATCAGAATGGTAGCTGACCTAATCATCGTAGGATTTATATCCCAGAGATGGTAGATCTCCACTGAAAATACTCCAGGGACAGACCTGGAGGCTTCGGGGTACTTTTCCGTAATTGGGATGTCATAAATATGATAAATGGCAAGCAGCAAATCGCAGATCTATGCTGCTTGCTTTTTAGTGTTCTTGTTCTTCGGACGGTGATTTCAGACTAAGAGAAGCATCACTAATGTTGAACCCCCAGTGATGTTCGGCTGTGGATTTTAACTGGCTGGCTGTTTTTTATCGCTTGTTTTGTACTGTGCTGCAAACTAGAAAGCAGAGCAGGGATCTGAGAGGGTCGAAAATCTTCAAAAGGCAGCAAAAAGGACACAAGCTGCCCAATGCATTTCCAGGGCTGATCCCCTTGCTTTGGTATCACGACCAGAAGGGACAAAAAGGTCAGGAAATTCAGCCTTCTGCTGTGGCCGTCTGAATGCAAGTGTAGGAGATGGTAGGTTCAACGTCTGCCTCACCTGCGAAGCGCATTGAGTCATCTTGGCTCGGTCATGTTCTCAGCCTGACCGACTTCACGGGGTTGTCGTGAGGATAAAATGGGTGGTGGGAGCCATGTATGTGGCCTTCTGCTTCTTCAAAGAAGGACAGACTAAGAATGAAGTTCCTAAATATTAGCTCACAGCCAATTAATCCACAGAGCTGGAGCCAAAATGGGTTGTGTTGCATTACTTGCTGATAGAATAAAGCAGTCTGGCTCAGCATCAGCTCAAGATTCCCTGCCAATTCGGCCTGAGGGTTTTGTTTTAATCTGTCTTCTTGTCTTAGATGCATTTTACTCCAATTTATAGAGCTTTAGGGCCATTTCGCACCTTATGCAGAGACAAAGCTGAGTTTTTTCCTGTGTACTAAGAAACTGAGAGCTGGTGCCTGCATTTTGCTTTTCTCTCTCCCCCCCCCCCCCCCACCCGCTGTTCCTTGTCCATTTTTGTCCGGTATTTTAAATGGTAAGCCCATAGGCAGGGACTGTCATTCTGATTCTCTCTAAGCTGCTCAGGCAGCCTTTTCAGCTGAAGTTTTAAAAAAATGCTGTAAATAAAATAAAAAATAAGCACTGGGCTCTGCAGGGAGCCGCAGTAGGCGCAGCTGCTTGAAGATCCTGCATCCATTTCACTGCAGTCTGAAAACTCGGGCCTGTCACGAGAAAACATAAAGCACAAAATGCTGTTGCATTATTCACGACTTGCACGGGGCATATGCTTTGCCAATGCAAAAGCGCAACTGAGAAATCTCTCCTGTCACTCCCTCTCTTCTTGCAGCGTTCCCAACTCTTGCCCAGCCAGTCCTCGCGGGGCCGGCTCCTCAGGATATCGCTTTACTCCGAACATTACCTCGGATCTGCAGCTGGTGGCAGAATATGCAGCAAAAGCTACATCGGAGCAGCAGATGGACGCATCTGGAGGAGACAGCCCAAAGGTGCCACGGAACTTCCCCCACTGCTCTGCACCCTCCCAGCGCTGCCCGTGCGATTCACGAGCTGCTGCGTCAGTTTCAGAGGGTGCTTCTTACCGGCGGACTTGCCCAAAGGGCCAGTGAGGAGCCACTTGCTTCCTCGAACCATCACGCTGAGCCAGCCTGGTGGCCTTCAGAGGCATTTGGACCGCAGCTCCCAGAATTCCCATCCAGCAGGGCCATTGACGGGTGCTGCAGTCCAAATGTGTCTGGAAGGCACAGCATTGGGGATGGATGCACTGAAGCAGCATTTAGAGTGACGAGAACTAGCCCAGGGTTCAAAAACGAAGGTAAACGCTTCTCAGCGCCTGGTGGCTGGTCTGGAAGGAGGCGGAAGCCAAGCTTCTCCTTGCCTTATGCTAAACTGTGATCTAGGGCAGCGTCCGAGCAAAGCCTCTGACTGTCAAAATTGTCGTCACGTTCACTCCTGGGTTATTTCGCCTTTGAACGGCCCAGCCATCCAGGTTTGCCCATTCTGGTCCCAACCTCAAATCAGGTTTCTTGCAAAAAGCCAAAGCGGCTCAGAGAAATCCCGGCAGGCCAGCTGGGTCAAGGTGCCACTGCAGGGTGTGGGAATCTGCAGCTCCCAGCTTGGCTTCTTTATCGGTTAAAACCATCAGACCTGAAAACCCTTTAAGACAGACTGTCTAAAGAGACTAATGCAAGACCCTAAATTACCGTGTGCCTAAGAAGAGCAGTAGCTCTGCAAAATTGGATCCACGGGCCGTGTAGTCCCCCAACACACGGACTTACTGGCACACTAGATAGCTTCAGAAAACCCCCCAAGCAGGGCATGAAGCCAATATCCTGCCCCTGTTGTTTCTGAAAAAACAATACGCCATCTCTGCTGATACGAATGGAAATGACAATAAATAGTAATAATAATAGCCATTCATTAATAAAAAGAGACTTGCTCTACTTGTGGCTGAACACTCGTCTGTTTGGGGCCTAAAAGGAATTACGATTTGGCCTTGCAAATGGAGAGGAGCAGGGTTTTGCCAGCGTACAAGTTTTCTGGGCTGCTTGTGTGCGTGCGTGCGTGCGTGTAAAAACTTGAAAGGCATCTGCTTCTCTGGCTGCTGTCTTGTTAGACAAGCTGCAGCCTAAATCATTAATGAACTGCGAAGCTGCTAAAACCTCCCTTGTGTGTCTGTGTTTTCATTGCTTGTCTGCAGGACGAGTCCAAGCCACCGTACTCCTATGCCCAGCTAATTGTCCAGGCCATCTCGTCAGCCCAGGACAAGCAATTAACACTAAGTGGGATCTATGCCCACATCACGAAGCATTATCCGTATTACAGGACAGCTGATAAAGGCTGGCAGGTGAGTGAGTGAGTGACGCGGGGATCTGCGGCAGTCCCGCTCTCGTTCGTTCGTTCGCTCGTTCGCTCATCTACTCATTCAGGAAGAACGTCCTGACTCTGGAATAACCATTTCCCTGCCTCTGCTCCCTGCAGAATTCCATTCGGCACAACCTTTCTTTGAACCGTTATTTTATTAAAGTTCCGCGTTCCCAAGAGGAGCCCGGGAAAGGCTCTTTTTGGCGGATAGATCCTCCCTCGGAAGGCAAATTGGTGGAGCAGGCATTCCGAAAACGGAGGCAGAGGGGCGTGTCCTGCTTCCGGACCCCGTTTGGGCCTCTCTCTTCCCGGTAAGTTCCGCTTGAAAGTCGAAGCAAAGGGAGGAACGGTTTGCACGTCATTCCAAGGGGAAATCAGGGTGTTTGTTCCAAATGTAGTCAATTGCAGAAGTAATGCCATTTTGTTATGGTAAAGTTGCAACTGCGTAGAGGTCCTAACAGAGTTCTAAGAAAAATACTTAAAATTCCAATTTCTGAGTCAACTGTAATAGATCAAACTAAGGGTCTAGGTTTTGAATATTACTTCAGCTCAGTTCAACAGGGCAGATGGTTCATCTCTAGTCATAAGAAAACTAAGTAGCAAATAATGCTGAACCATGGTTTATTTAACATATGGTTTGTTGCCATACCAAGGGTTTGTCTGGCAGGCAATAAAACCGTGGGTTCTTTTCTCAGTCCATGTATGGTTTGTTTCCATCCTCCTTTGCTTCTTTCCTCCCTGTATCCCAAATGCCATTGCAGCATGTAGAGCAGTTCAGTTTTTCACAACCATCTCTTCCCACCATCACAATAGCCTGGCCAAACAAACCATGAACAACCCACAGTTCTGGGTTCTCACTTAGTAACACCCATGGTGTAAGCAACCCAGAGTTCACCACCACACAGCAAACCATGGGTTCTCTTTCTCGGTTGTTAATGCAGCTGGGTTCATACATCAAGACAACCTAGAATTTAAGAACTAAGGGGTTACATAAACCATGGACAGCGTTGTGTGCAAGCCGGAAGACTAGACGCTTCGCTCTGTTAAAATGGGAGCTTCTCGGCATCGGTTGCATGCAGTGGTTTCTGCGCCTGCGTCGTGCTTCCGCGGTTCCTGTTGTTGTCAAGCCCCGTGCCGGTTGCAGCGCTTGCCTCGCCTCTTTGGGCAACTCGCCTGACCTTTTCCCGGGCACTTTTCCTGCCTTGCAGAAGCGCACCCGCCTCCCCTACTCACCCAGGCCTGCTCTCCCCTCACACGAGCGGCCTGCAGACGCCGGAGTGCCTGTCGCGGGAGGGCTCGCCGATTCCACACGAGCACGACTTCGGCTCCAAGCTCGCCTCCGTTCCAGAGTATCGGTATTCACAAAGCGCACCTGGTGAGTAGCGCAGGAGAGGGGTGAGGGCGGACCTCTCTCTCTCCTTTTCTGTTCTCCTCCGCGCCCCTTCTCCTTCCTCTTTCTCTCCCCTCCTCCTCCTTGCTGTGCTCTCTTCCTCTCCCTCCCTTCCCGCTTCCAGCCTCTCTGTTTCCAGTGCCAGTGTGGTGTGGTGGTTCAGAGGACGGGACTGGGACTCAGGCGATCCGGGTTCTGGTCCCCGCTCAGCCATGGAGCCAACTGGGGGACTTTGGGCCAGGCACAGACTCCCAGCCCAACCTACCTCACAGGGTGGTTGTTGTGGGGATAAGATGGAGGAGGAGAATGATGTAAGCTGCCTTGAGCCCTTTGTAGGAAAAAGGCAGGATATAAATCGAAATAAATAAAATATTGCCCTCCCCACCACTGTGGCTTTCATCAGCCCACTGTCGACCAGCCAGCCCCGTGGCAGCCATGATGCGCCTTGCCGCATCCTCTGCGGGTGCCATTTTGTGGTGCTGCCCACAGCAAAGGTGCCCGCAGGTCCCAAAATGACAGGGATCCCTGATGCGTGTTTTCTGACGTTTGGAAAAACGATGGGGAAACAATTCAGTAAATGAGTAAAGTTATTAAGGGGGATCAAGGAAGGGCCAGAGCAAGGAGTGAGTTGCTGCCAGGCAGGGCAAGGAGCTGCTAGCCCCGCTCCAGCATCTCAGGTTTTGCCCCAGGGTTTCTCGGGTTTTCCCTACCATCACGAGGACCAGAAGCTTGCATTTCTTTTTATGCGAACGCTGCACTCTTTGGCTTTCAGCCTGCTCTCCCAGCTGACGGTTCGCCCGTCTTCCTCTTCTCCAGGCTCGCCTGTAAGCGCCCAGCCCGTCATCATGGCCGTCCCTCCGCGGCCTTCCGCCCTGGTGGCCAAGCCGGTGGCCTACATGCCTGCCTCCATCGTGACCTCTCAGCAGCCCTCGGGCCACGCCATCCACGTGGTCCAGCAGGCGCCCACCGTGACGATGGTCAGGGTGGTGACCGGCTCCACCAACTCGGCAAACGGATACATCCTGACCAACCAGGGCCCCCCGGGCAGCGCCCACGAAGCAGCTGGAGCCGTCCTGGACTTGGCCGGTGAGCCTCGAGGTAGCGTACGAGCCGCGAGAAGGCCCCCCCCCCCCCCGCCATGGGATTCTCGGTCGGGTCCCTAAACCCCCTTTAACGCCCTTCAGCGTGGGAGCAGTTGGATGCTCAGGTGTTTGATCCGCTCCCGGCCCTTCAGTCCAGCTACCCCGAAGGAGCCGTCTTTCCATCCCTCCGGCACCAAGCGAGCTTCACCTGGGTATGCCTGCACACCTCCTTACTCATTTGCAGGGCTTTCATCCTGCTCTTAGCTGAAAAAGACTCCTAGAGCGGCTTCCAAAACTGAATCGCAATTCCTGCCTTCGGGCAGATAGACTCAAAGACACGGCACACAAGGAAAGGGGGTGGGAATGGAGGAGGCAAAACGCAGGCTCTGGCTCCTCGTTTCAAAGTTCTGATCGGTGTTCTTTCTGGCCCAGGTATTCTTCACCTGGAATACTGTGTCCAGTTGTGGGCACCAAGATTTAAGAAAGATGCAGGTGAATTAGAAAGGGTCCAGCGGAGGGCGACGAAAACGATGCAGGATTTGGAAACACTGGCCTATGAGGAGAGACTGAGGGAACTGGGCATGTTCAGCCCTGAAAAGAGAAGACTGAGGGGGGCATATCTCCCTCTATAAGTACCTATCACAAAGAGGAAGGTCAAGATCTCTTCTTGTTGCTGCCAGAGTGCAGGACACGGAATAATAAATTCAAGTTGCGACAACCCAGATCCAGGCTGGGCATCAGGAAGAGCTTCCTCACTGTCAGAGCAATACGGCAGCGGAACCAGCTGCCTGGAGAGGCGGGGGGCTCTCCCACACTAGAGGCATTCAAGGAGAAGCTGGGCAGCCCTCTGAGTGGGATGGTGTGACGTGGTGTCCTGCAACAGCAGGGCGGTGGACTGGATGGCCTTCATGGCCCCTTCCAGCTCTACTATTCTATGATTCTGTGATTCTGATGGGTGTCCTTTCTGCCTGGCACATTTCTCCCGGCAGTGTTCCTTCCCGGCTCCCCACCACTGCCACAGATAAATATGAATAGACTTTGGCCATCTGCCCCTCTGTCACTTGAGAACCAGAAAGCTCTCTCACCTCCTCATGGCATTTCGGTTGGTCCGAGTAACAGCCTTGCCATATTGCGGCCTTGGGGGCTTCTGGAAGACGCTTTGATCGTGCAAACAGTCCGCCTCTTTTACAGAACTCTGGAGGTGTCCAGATGCTGCCTTCTCCTTACAGCCCTCCCAGGCTTTCCCACTGTTGTTCTCCCTTCCCCCCCCCCCCAAACATCGGTTGAGCAAGAGAAAATAGAATAGCCGCAGAGTGTCTTCCAAATGGGAACATTAGTGCCAGAAGCACCCTCTCATTCTGTCAGAACTGCGCTAGGGACTCTGCAGTGGGGTGTCTGGCTTCACATATCATGTCTGTGGCAGAGCTCGTTCCTCGACTTCAGAAAATAACAGGAGTGTCTCTGGAAGAGTTCTCAAGATGCGCTCGTGGCAACTTGCACAATTTGTTTTGTGCTGTGGTAGGTAGTAATTGCGTTTCTTGGACCGTAGTCCATAACGAACGGAAACAATCCAATCAGTCAGATAAATAATTAACAAAAGGCAAGAACTGCAGAGCTACAAAACCAATTAACTCAAAGTAAACAGCATAAAGGATTACATCATATAAATCCCCTTGTCCAAATAACTCTGAATGTCCCGTTAAGGTCCAAGTAATTTTGCGGGTGCTTTGACGGAGCTGAGGCAGGAAGAGAGGGAGCCTGTGTCTTCTCACTTGCTGCGGGCAAAAAAAAAAACATCTGTCAAATCAATGTTCGTGTCACTGGAATTGTGTGAGGGGAGGGAATTTAGTTCATTTGGAGAGGCGGCGCGTGTGTTTGTGCGTGCATATGAGCAAGAATGCCCTTAAGTTTTCCTTTCCCTATAAAGGCAGTGCAGAATGTTGTTGTTGTTCTGTATCTTCATTGCTCATCCAGTATCATGGAGGTCATTTGAAAAGCTACTTGGAGGGACCCTTTCCTTTGGCCTCCCAACGTGGTCAGTTTTGGAGGGGGTGACATAGGATAACTCGAATTATTATTTTTAATTGTGAGCTGCTTTTGCAAGGGCCTCTGCTGCTAAAACATGGTGATGCTGATCGTAAACTGGCAATCTTGGGTCACTGAAGTGTTGTGGGTTGAAAGGGTGGAATTTCCACATTTATTTGTTTGTTTAAAGCTTTTATACACCGTCCCTATACTAGTGTCTCAGGACAGTTTACAACAACAAGTAAAATAGAAATTAAAAATAGCACAGCATGCAGTGCTGGGCATGCACTAAAACCAATTAGACATTAAAATAACGGGAGAATAAAAAGGGTTTCACCTGGCGCCGAAAAGAAAGAAATGTTAGCGCCAGGTGAGGCTCTCTGGAAGTATGGATGCTTGCGTGCTGCTTCCACTGCTTACTCTCTGGAAACCACCATGGCCCCAAAGAGACCCACTTTCTGGAGCAGGGAGCCACGAGATTGTGCTTTGCTGGCTTCTGGAAAGGACAGCCAAAACGTTTGCCCGGCTCACTGCTCACGGAAGGAGGAAATATGAAAATCGGGGACAAGGACATTTTTCCCCACGGTATGCCTCTGTGCGCATAGACACAAATGCATGCAGTCACGACAAAAATTCAGCACCTTCCTCGGTTTTCCCTAAGATGCACGGGAAGGAAAGATGCCTCGGGAAGCTGCCAGGCCATGCGTGATGCTAGCTTGTCTTTCCGCAGGGATGGACGACAAGCCGACCATCGCCTTTGCCGCCATCCCCACTGCCAGCCGAGTCATCCAGACCGTGGCCAGCCAGATGGCGCAGAGCATCCCGGGACAGACAGTCACCATCCTGCAGCAAGCCGCGCCCATGGCCGTCGGGCAGCACCAGCTCCCGGTCCGAGCCGTGACTCAGAACGGGAAGCACAGCGTTCCCACCAGCAGCATATCCGGAGGCGCTTACGGTATGTGCCACCGGGCTCTGAAGCCCCTGCCTCCTTTTCCTCTGGCACAAAACACTCAGGTGTCGTCGCTTCCCATTTCTACACCACCCTTAGCCAAAGCTCTCTGAGCAGTTCACAGCCTTTAGGACACCCATCCTGACTTCAGCCAGGCCCGACCCTGCTGAGCTTCCAAGATTAGGCAGGATTGCAAACCACACCTCTCTGGAATCCCTCAGGCCTGCCTTCCGCAGCCCCAGAAGCAAAGCAGAGCTTGGCCTCCCCTCTCATTTTGCAGCAGAACCCGGGTGCCGCCTAAGGCTTGCACCAGGTGAAGAACCCAGCGAAATATGTGCACAGAGCACTGTTTTGCACCCGCTGCTTGGAACAGCTACGGGCTGCATGGTGCATGGAAGTCTTCAGCCCCCCGGCCACCAAATCCTCTCCAGCTCAGCCCCTGAGATTTTCGTAAATGTTGATTACAAGCTGTCCGGCCTCTTGGCTTGGCCTTAATGGTTAGGGTGGTGGACTGGGATTCCGGAGATCCACTTTCTGGTTTCCATTAGGCTGCGGAGTTCATTGAGTGTCTTCAGGCCAGCCTCTGGTGCTCTCCTCGTTCTCCTCCTTATTTCTATGCCTCCCATAGCCAAAGCCAAAGTCACCCATCCAGATTCCAACCAGGCCTGACCTTGCTTAGCTTCCAAGATTAGGTAGGACCGGGCACTTCAGGCTGTACAGAATCCCAGGTTCCTTGCAGTGGAATATAAATCTAAAGCTAAAAGTGGAACATAAATCTAAAGCTAAACCCCTCCAAAAGTAATGGTAACAGGATCTCGGTGGATGGATTTGATAGTAGGGGTTTCTCATTATCTCTTTTCCTCGGGCTACAAAGCTGGTTAATTTCATTTATACCTCAATTGCTTGACAGGTATTTTAAAAGTAAAGCAACAGACAACCACTCAATGGAGTCCAATTAGAGGGTAGCGCATTAGATAATTGCCTGTTGGACGCCAGCCCTCAAACATCCACCTGGAATGTGTTTTCAACACACTGTAAACAGGAAGTGATGAATAGAAAACCTCCTAAAAATATCCGATTTTCTCTCTAGGTGGAGGGTGATTCTCCAGGCTAAAGATGGAGGACATTTCTGTTCCCTATTCCACTGTCGGGGACTTAATTTCTCCTCTTAACGATGCATCCTCAGCAGCAAGTCCCACTGATTTTAAATGGCTGGACTTGCTGGCAAGAAGCGTGTTCAAATTCATCATCTGTTTACATAGCCATGCAATAAAATTGCAGTTCTGAGAGTCATAAATTAAGCCAATACATTAATTGGTGGCCACTTATCTTGCTTTATTTAACTCTACTCAGAAGAGCCACTGCTTTTTCAGCCTGGATCCAGTCACAAGCTTGTTCCGTCCCATTCATCAGTACATCATTGTTTTGAGAAAGCACACAAAAATGTGCATTTATTTTGTTTACAGATATACACAGTTTGAATATCCGTTTCTCTAATACACAAAATTTTGGTATGCGGTATTTGGACCACAAACCACATCTTTTTCTTTATTTGCAGCATTTATAAGCACCTGCATGTTGGTACCTATTCCAAAGTGGTAAGCAATTAAAAAGTCAAAAAAGTGCAAAAAGAATAAAACACAATATTCAGAACAATACCAACAAAAGCAGAATAGCAATCAAAACTGCAGCTGGTCAACCAAAGAAGGCTTTCCGAAATAAAAGATGCTTTTGGAAGACACCAGAAACATCATGTTGGGGCCTGCCTTCCCCCCGGGGGGGGGGGGAATATCTACGGGGGGGGGGGCACCACCGGGGCCTCTTCTTGCGGGGATGCCAGTTCTGCCCATCCGTAGCATCCAGAGGTGCCTTGCATTGCTTTGCGCAAGGAAGTGGAACCTCACGCCCTGGGCCAGACTGGGCCCTCCCGGCCTGCCCTCCTCCATCCACCACAGACTTGGTGATTTCGCTGCTTGATGCTGCTTTTTCTGCAAGGCTGGGCTTCCTCTCCCATGGGTCAGTGACCAGCTGGAAGAGCTTTAGGGAGCAGTTTTATGACAGCATGAGGGACCCGCCCTCCCCCCGGGGTACTCTGCATTCCCAGAGGCGGCACTCCAACCTCAGTCTTGGGAACCAGAGTTCCAGCCTGTAAAAAACCAAGCCGGTTGCTGTTCGAGGCAACCCCAGAGGGGTGGGGGACATTCCAGCGGGCAAGGAGGAGAAATCTGGAGAGGCCAGGATACGATCTATCCTGAGGCTTCTCCAACCTCCTTCCCTCTCCTTCCAAAATCCTAAAAACATGGGGCAGGAGCATAGAGGGGCAAAGATCACCTCCCCTACACTTCTGCCCTGCACAGGACAGAGCCTTGTCTGGGTAGGGACTCCTCAGACCATTGCAATAGAATCGCACCCTTACAATCATTTTTTCTTTTTCCTTTTTGCACTGTTGCCCACACCGTTTTGCATCTTGAAGTGCAGCCTTGAGAGTTTCTCCGAGGCAGCAGGCTAAAAGAGATCCTCCCTCACCCCCACCCCGGCCTTGGGATTTCCTGCAGGAAGGCGCTGCCTTCTAAAGATGCCCCGGATGCTCCTGACCAGTGCTTGAGGTGTGCATGTCTTGGCCGTGGGCGTGTGTTTCCTAAACCTCCATCCCCGTCTTCGTCTCTCCCCCAGCCCTGACAAATCCTCTGCAGCTGCTTGCAGCCCAAGCCAGTTCATCCACTCCAGCGGTGGTCAGCCAGCACGTGGGAGAGGCAGGGACTAAGGATGCGGAAGAGCGTCCGAGCGAACCAGACATCAAAAGGCCTCGGATGGAGGAGTCGAGAGGACCACCTGCCCCGCAGACGGGCGTTATCACTTCGACGGCCCCACACGGACAGGCCGCCAGCGAATGAGGAATCCGAATGTTCTGGAAGGGCAGCTTAGGCGTCAGAGAGATTTTTTCTAAAAGAAAAACTACAACTTTGCCGTTTTCAGATTTTTTAAAAAAATAAAAGCTTCTTTCAGAATAAGATTTTTAAAGGACAGGCCAGCAGTTCCTAGGATCGCACAGTGCCAAACGAACAGGCAAGACCTCCACCTACTGTCTGTTCTGCCTTTTAACTTTGGAGATTTTTCCCCCTTCTTTTTTAGATTGAAAACACACACAGCACAGAGACAATTTGACTGAATGATTGCTGGGTTCCCCCCCTTCCCATTAATTTTCTTTTTCCTCAAGCATGGCAATTGTCTGTGAGCCTGACAGGACTCTTACTCCCGCGGGGGGCGCTGCTGGTCCCCAAAGACACACAACTGAGGTCCGTTCACATCTCAGAGCTCCTGCCCCTAAATCTAGAAAAACTGTCTAGGATGGCCTTTGCAAAACATTTGCTTGGAATTTGACGTTGCGATTTGTAACTGCCACCAAAAATGGCACACGCGTGTCGAGATGGCCCTGCATCACCTGTACTACCTAGTCCAGCTTCCCCGTGTCTGCCAGCCTTGTAGTGTCCGTTCTGTCTCCCCACCTCCCCGCCATCTGCCCATCTCCAATTCGATTATCATGTCAGGATGCTGGTAAACCGGACTAGAGAATCCTGTGGCAAGTGGCCTTCCGGGCATCCGTGCCGTATAGCGCAAGGTTGTGGTGTGTTTCTGCAAAGTCTCCTGTGGGGATTTGTGGAGCAGCCAGTTGGAGCATCAGGACCATTCCTGGCGATTCAGCTTGAGAGACGGAGAGAGGAGGAAGCGGAATGGCTTTTCTCCGAAGGGCCGGTGCAGCCCGCTCGCTGGACCACCCTGCGGCAATGACTGTCTGCCTTAGCTTACCCTTCCTCGCAGCATCATTGCGCAGATACGGTGAGGGTGAGGGTGAGGAGAGCTTCATATGCTACCTTGAGCTCCTGGGAGGAGGAAGCACAGGATAAACATGTAATAAGGCTGTTTTTAAGCCTGGGAGGGAGAGAACCTGATTTTCTCCGAACGGTGGTCAGCAGTTCCTTGCTGTTAGTTATGCTGGCTCAGACTGATGGGAGTCGTAGTCCAACACCCTCTGGAGGGCCATGCCGTTTTCACATGCGTCAGGCTCCCTGATCCCACACCCCCGCATCAACTGCTCGTTGCTCACAGGGTGTCCTTAGCAGCCAAGGGTTTGAAGAGGCTTTGCAAATCCCAAAGCTTTCCAAAGAGGAGGCCAGTCAAGGACGGGGAGGTGGCTTGTATCAAAGGCATGTGAAGTAATCCAAGATCCTGCCTCTTGCTTGACAACGGTTCAGGAATTACCTGTGTGTCGGCAAGCCTAAAATGTGGCCCTGCTTGTGTCTCCTCTAAATAGAGCCACTGCACACACAAGAGAATGGACCAGATTCCAGCTAAATTTCAGGAAAAATCTCCTCTGGAGCAATATGACAATGGAACCAATCCCTCGGGGCGTTGTGGGCACTGCCACACTAGAGGCATTCACGGTGCGCCTGGACAGCCATCCAAGAGGGATGGGTTGACCTGCCGTCCTGTACTAGCGGGGTTGGACCCAGTGGCCCTATGACTCCTTCCAGCTCTACTTTTCTATGATTCATACGTGGGGCAGGGCGCAGTTCACATTTTCCTTCTTGCCTGTAAGGTATGTATGTGTGTTGCGGGGTCATTCGCTCAGTCTTGGGGGTCGGGGCAGGTTGCAGATACCGATCTGAAGGAGCATCAGAGCTCAGATCCCAGGATGATAAACGTCCACAGCTGAGGGAAGGCAGAAATAAAAATACTATTTCAGTACCCAGGTGAGGAAACCCCCTTTCCCTTCTGTGCATGAAAAAGCGCCTCTCTGTTTTTACAAAGGCAATTCTTCCCTCCCCCAAGAAGTTCAGAGCATTTTGGTGCTTCGGTTTCCACATCCCCCATCAGAAACCAGTACAGCTGGATAAAGGGTTCGGGGTTGTAATTACAGCTTCGCCAAGCCAGTTCTCTCTCAGCATCATTTCTGTTGTTTGTGCTCACACTTTTGATGACTGTTCCATAAGCTCCATTTTCCTATGCAAGCAATAATTAATTATATCCAGTTTTTTTTTGAGGGGGTGGGTGTTAATTCCATACTGTGTTTCCAGAGACAAATGGGTGTACCAGCTGGCGAAGGCCACAAGGTATCTGCGCCCAGGTGCAGGCTCCTCGTGCCCGGTGAATGTGTAGGCACCAGTAGACCTCTGGAGTGAGGGACAGCTGCCTCTGGCAAGGTTCTGGAACCCGGCTCTGCTTGCCCAAGGAAAGAGGGTGGACTTCCGTCCGGAATGAGGCAAACGGCCGCAGATCAACCTGCAGGGCTGCGTAACTTGTGCACAAACAGAGTGCTTTTGTTCAGCTGAGCACTCGGGTTGCGGTGAAACTGAGCCTCCCCCAAGCTTGTTTCGCCGTTCTGCCGCATGAGCTCAACAAAACGGCCTCGTCCACCTCCTCCTTTGGCTGGATGCCGCCTGTGGAGAAGGGATGGGCCCTCTTGGAATTGGGAGTGTGGGCTTGAGGCTTCCCCGAGGAGCTGCGGCAGAACGACGACCTTGAGTGTGCGCAGAAGGCAGCGCCGAGTTTTAAAAACAAAGGCACGGTGATGACAAGCGAGAGGAAAAGCCGAAGCAGCTTTGCCCATATGATGGGGCAAGTGACAGACAGGCATCGTCTTTGCTTTGCCCTGCCCTGCGCTGCACTCAGTTTGGGAGCCTGGATAAAAAGCCACAAGCTCCCTCTGAAGTCCTGTTGCTTATTTAGAGCCCCTTTGGACAAGAACAGTTTTTCCTGGTCTTGATGGAAGCGAGGCTTTTAGCATGCTCCTTCCAAGCAAGCAACTGTTCTTCGCTACGGGAGTGACAGGATCTGGGGTGTCCCGTTCCCCTGCCTGGGGTGGGGAAGGAGCTTTGGACTACAAGTCCCAGGATTCCTCACCACTGGCCATGCTGGCTGGAGGGGACAGCTGTTGAAGACCAGCACCAGGCCGCTGGGGGTGCCCGCTGTAAAGGGGTGGGGGAGAAATCCCCCGTCACCTGCAGAAGCAGGTTTTGAGCTTCCCACGCTCAGGGTCTCCTTTCCATAGTGATGTGTCTTGGGCCGCAGAGGCGTCTCGGTGCTGCGGAGGATTCTGAGATACTGCCTGACACGCCAAGCGCTTGCCAAGATCTGCCAGGCTTCGAGACCGAATAGCAGGGGATGCGAGATGGGGTGGGAGTGGATTGAAGGCTGGTGGGGTCACCCAGGCCATCCGTTTGGGGGACGGGTCTGGCCTACAGGATCCCATCTCTTGGGAGCTTCTCCTGCACAAGCCCCCTTTAGCAGGAGAACTTCCAGTAAACACTTCCTAGCAAGGTGGGTCCTGGCTAATCGAGTGCCCTTGAATGTCCCACTCCGCGTTCCAGAGTCTCCCTGAAGGCCAGCCCCGAACAGCTCTCCCCACTCCAGATGTCTTGCACTACATTTGCGATCCTCCTTGTGGTTGGGGATGATGGGAATTGCAGCCCAGCATTTCTGGACTGTAAGTTTGGGAAGGTGGCTTTAGAATGTGTCCGTTCTTCCCTACGGCTGCATGTCCAGGGGAGGACGGGGTAACTGTGAATCACGGACTTGCCAAAGTGGAACCCTTGCATTTCAAGTCTGTCTTCTCTGTAGGTCAGTTAGCATAGTATAGATGTGTGTTATACAGAAAGCAGTAAAGGCTTGTGCACTTGGGTTTAAGGTGTTGTGCAACTCACGTTTCCAAGTTGCTCAGGCTCTCCTCGACTCTCGACGGCTTAGTGGGCTTCAAGCTGACTTGTTCCGCATTCCTGGCTCAATGTTGCAATGGAGCATTAATTCAGTTATCTGGGCTTGTGAAGAACCAGGTGCCTGCTCACCGGTGGCGAGCAAGAATCCCTTCCAGGCAATTAGACACTAAAGCTTGGTTTTTATTTTTTTAGACCACAAGTGACAGGCACACAGCGATGCATGAAAGAAGGAATAATAAAAATTGGTTCTGAGCTAATGATTTTTATCAGTCTATTTGCATGTCTGTCCTTAGTTTGACCTGTTTGGTTTTAAGTTTAGCTTGGCTATGTGGCTTTTGGATTAATGAACTCCTGCCACCCACACCCACACATGAATTCTCTAGCATTTGTGTCTTCAACCACTTGCTGGGGTCATTCGAATGGGCACCTTGACCATGAGCGACACAAGTTGATTCGCCTCCTCGTAACATTTCAAGTTTTCTTCACAATTTGTCCGTGATTTTTTGGATGCCCCTCAAACAGATGTACACATACTAGGTGGGAGAGCAAAAAGGAACGTGCGTGTGTAGCGCCGAACACGCCTGGCACCCACTGGCTTAACTGGCTCCCTTTCCCTGCTTGTGCAGTGTTACAGTAGAGACCCATACAGACCAGGACGGTACCCGACGCCATGCAAATAAAAGGGTGGCGCGCAAGCTCCCGGCCAGGCCGAGTCCATGGGTGTGTCTGAAGCAGTCAGGACAAGTTTTTGCATGCCCAAAACTACCTGGGCAGCTCTCACTCCACAAAGTGAACTTTGCACCCCAAGCCAGTCTGCCTGAAACCTGGTTCCCTCTGGATGTTTCGGACTACCATTCCCAGCGCTCCCAGCCATTGGCCATGCTGGCTGAGGCTGATGGGTGTCCCGTTCATCTGGAGGGCACCAGACTGGGGGTGGCATTGTGGGAGATGTGCCAGCCAGGCCCAGAGACAGAACAAGTGCCTTCCAGAGCCCTGTTGATGGCAAGCTGTCATCCCACGAGTTGGGGGCAACTCGCGAAGATTAGCTGAAGCTGTTTGTCCTTGGAGCCCTGTTCTTATAGAAGCTGCTGCTCTGAAAAATCAAACTATCATGAAGGTGGAAGAAAACACCTGTACAACCGTGGGCGAACAGTGCTTGTGCCTACAATTCCCATCAGCCCTCCCTATGGGTCATGTAACTTAGGGCTGATGGGAGCTCTAGTTCAGAACATCCAGAGGACCAACGGTTGCTCACCCCGATTTAACACGACTCTCATGCGGAGATTTAAATGCCTTACTTAACCAGTCTCCTAAGCGAAATGCTTAATTAGTGGTGCACAAATTTAAGGGTTCGGGGCTGACACCCCTGGGCTAAAGTCCTGCCCTATGGGAATTGCAATTTTGTTCTCAGAAAGGCCAAGACATGCTGGAATACAAGCCTGCAAGCTTCCACTCCCTTCTCGGCACAACACGAGTTCCCGAGTGATTCCCACCCCTTCCTTTGTCAGGTAGTTCAGGCTACCTCATTTTTGGCAAGTACAAGCAGCTCTGCAAGCCAAGACTCCCTGCAGTTCAGAATGCGCTCCTCGGCTCCTCCTGATGTCCACCAAGCTGCGTAGCAGCAAGAGGCTCAAAAGTTACCTGCTGTGCATCGAACGGATGATGAATTTCCAGGTGCTGTTGAAAGAAAACCCGGTGCAAGACTCTCTGGTTGCAACAAAACACTATTTAGATGTTCATGTAGTAAGTCTAACTGGATCAAAGGAGACGGGTGCATCGTAAGATGGCCGTGTCTGTAGTCCTTCTGGATGCATTTTGTATTTAGGAGAATGACGGTAAAATGGAATGGACACGAGACCCCGCCATTGGTCCCCTGTGCCTGATATTCAGCAGGGTGACGCTCACGTGGACTCATGACTAGTAATCTATAGCCAGCAGGATCTCAAACAGGGTTGGGAAAGATCACATCTCCCAAAAGGCAGAAGAACTGTTGTAATAAACAGTTGCAATGATTGCAATAAAGGCAATGCTGAACTAGATGGTCCAAGTCCTCGAAGCTGAAAAACTTCATGAATGCAGCAGAACTGGGGTTTAAAAGAAAAAGTAATCAAGCTTCTAGTCCTTAAGGGTGAAAAGATGAGCTTGAAGGCTGTACAGATAGGCTTGGAATGTTAAGTCAGTGGCTGCTAAAACATCTAGAAGACAGAGAAGTTGCTGGAGATGATTTGTCGTGACTGAAGGGTGTGGGCCTTGAGCACTTTTTTTTTGGGGGGGGTCCCTGTGACTGCCATAGATACAAACCTGTGCAGGTTTAAACTGAAATAAATCCCACTGTGTTCAGTCCATCTTGCATTCAGGTAAGCTTGCCTGGTATTGTGGCTTAAATGTAGGAATGCAAAATCGAAAGAAAACATGCCAAATTTGCTTAAATTTTAAGTCATTTAAGCAATCGCACTCATGTTGCGATAAACTTTAGTTTGGGGGGAATCATTCAGGTTTTGGGGGTGGGGCTGGTTTTAGTACAAAGTTCACCCAGTCCCTAGCACAATGCAACTCTTTTCTGCCCTTAAATGGACAATTTCATGAATGTGTGCAGCTACTGTTAACCTTTTAAAAAGAATCGGAGATGCAATGTCCCTTTGGCCCTATATTTCCTTGGAGCTTCAGGAGACATAAGAATCTTATGGCACATGCCCCCCAGACTTTGATAGGGCTTTGTTGAAAGGCGAAAGGAAAGGCTCTTACAACAACACTAATAATTTCCAAGAAGCCACGTTTATTCCATTGGAGCAGAAACAACAGACTCTTGTGGCACTTTAAAACTAACACATTTATTCCACCATAAACTTTTATGTGCTAACATTTGATGAGTCAGGCTTGCAGTCCATGAAAATTGCTGCCTAATACATGTGTTGGCCTTTAAGGTGCCCTGTTTTTTACAAACCCATTTTGTTCTTGATCCAAAACCCATTTTGGAGAGAAATTGGAGTTTGCGCTCCTCATAAATTCCCAGGGATATGTGCTACTTCAATTATCTGGAGCCAAATAAATTGGCCACTGTGATACCAAAATGCAACAGATGCTTTCCTTTCTTGCAGAATTTTGAAAATATCAGGCTGATGACTGTTTAACGGTGTGTGTTTTGGATCTCAAGGATCTAATTACTGCATCTCGACCTGGTTTTAGGTGATGAAGCTATTTTCTGTCTCAAAATCCCTGGAAAGCATTACAGATACAAAATTAGCAATCTTTCCCTCCTCCCTCTTCTGTCTCCCTTTTATACTTGCTGTTGTGCGCCAAATCCACCTTTGAAACTGACTTATCATTGTCAACACCTGAAGAATATTCATGACTAACTTGAAATTAAGGTAATTTTCTCCCATCCTTTTCTCTGTGTTGAGTGGGGAGAATCCTCCAACAATAAGAAACCGCGAAACAAGAAAAAAGACAAGAAACATCTGCCTCTTTTTAAAATGCCTCAGTTGTCATATGAAAACAGGAGAAATGTGTTTAAATTTTAAACTTCTAAACCAAAATTAAATAAGCTTTGTTCTGAAACTTCCAGCATCTGTTTATTTTCTACTCTTTTTTCCAATTTAAGGGACAGGACTGCTGTACCGTTCAGACAACTGACAATGTTGATAAACGTGAGAGATTGTGTTTTTCCCTGTTTTCCCAGTAGAATGGCGCTTTTCTGGCCAACACAACTATTAAATGGAGTTCCTTTGGTTGGCCGAAGAAGTCCAGCGATGCACAGAGGTGATACCAGTCTCATCGTTTCCCAGTGTCATGAAAGGCATGGCAAAAGGTCTCTCGCTCACACAACCTTGATAAGCCAGAAGGAGAGAATGGAAAGGTATATGTCTCAACTTTGCTGAAACGGATTCTGTTTGTAGGCCAAACCAGTAATACTTTGGTTGCTCATTTTATGATCTCAAAAAGTGTGGGAGATGCAAAAACGGTTGTTCCTGGCCTGTGCCATCTCTCTCGATCCCAGTTGCTTTTGTGGCATCCAGGGGCACATTTAAAACTTTTCTAGGCCACTCAGTTGTGCCACAGCACCTCTGGGCAGCTCACAACGTGAGATCAAAACACAATAAAAACATCATAAAAACCACAACACATCAAAAACAACAATAAAATACAGCAACACATACAAAACCAGGGTCTGGCCATTAGTTATTAACATGATTTTTTTTTTAAAGGCGCTTGCTGCTGTCGCATCACTTAATGCTCTCCAGGAGGTCATTGTGTAGCCTTAGCTTGCAGGGCCCGAATATGCGCCCCAAGGGGCCAGTTCAGATGGTGCTTTTGTTCGTTTCATACTCTTGCACCTCAGGGACCGGACTAGGAATCAAGTGGCATCAAATGGGCATGTTAGAAATGACTATTTACATACGAGGCAGCATCTTCGGAAGGCATGAAATCCTGCTGGCAGAGAGATCTTCATGGCTTTGACAGCACATTTCATGGCAACATATCAAACACGCAAGCCCCAGAATGTACTGTGAAAAACATACGGAGGGGATAACTTTCTGGATGTTTTAATACCTGCCATCTTAGCTTTAATTATAGGTCATTTATCAATTCTTAATGCGTTCACGGGCCTCCCACAGCTGGGGTTATGGACCGTCTTCCATTTTTAATTGCAGAAACGTCTGGGGTCATTGTTCTTATATTAATGACACAGTCGATTCGAACAAAGATGTAAATGCCTGCACTCTTAAGTTATGATCGACAGCTGCACTTGGAGAGCAGTATGTTCATATAATGGAACATTTACCCCACTTAAATTTCTATCATCCGAGTGCGGCAAAGGATTGACCTGGGGGCATGGCTGCCGTTTCGAACCTGCTTGTACAAGCATTTTCTCCCCTTCCGATTTCCATATCAAAAACATAACATTTTAATAACATCAGGGCATAAATCTAACAGGCGAGAACTTGCTGACCTCAATTTGCATGAAGTTTGTGGAACAAACTCTGAAGTTTACTGCAGGTCGGTGCTGATTTAACTCGCCCATGCAGCTTCTGAGATGAAATTTTAAAAACCGGGTTATAGCACTGCAGGCACTGCTGGAAGAGGATATTGTGTGCTTAATTAAAATCTGTTAAGTGTGCAGATTAAATGAGGGAAAGGGCGACCGGATGGTGGGAGCAGGGATGGATGTGGGGCAGCCTGGATGGGATGCATTTCCTTTCATGAACTGTAATGAGAAAAAGGCAGGAGAGGGCTGAGAAGAGCCAGGTTCGGCTGCCTGTCCCACGGTGGTGCTGCCTTTCGGCCTAACCCACCTCAAAGGGTGTTTGGGAAGGTGAAATGCAGGCTGAGTGGAGAACAATAGATGCCAGCATCAGTTCTTTGGAGGAAAAACAAGTTACAAATAACCCCCCCCCCAGAAAAAATTTGCAAGCCAACTTTAAGAGGAAGTCTTCCTCCCCCTCCTCCTCTTTTTTTCTTTTTCTTTCTCCTCCTCCCTTTTTTCCCTTTTCATTTTCTTTTTCCTTTGGGGTGGTGGCATCCGTTGCACAGCCAGGTTTCCTAGAGGTAAACTGGGCACCTCAGGTTCGTAATGCAACTCATTCTGCCCATTTCTACGCTGATCCGCTTGAAACGGGAGCCTGGAACCTCAGACCCAGATGCCACATACCCCTGCTGCAGCTTAGTGGAAATATGCCGATAGGTTTGTTGCACCCCTTCTGCCCTGACCTTTTAGCCCCGTCCCCCATTGGGAAGCAGTGTCCAAGAGCTCTGAATGCAGTTTGGCCCTCTGGCCTGGTTTAAAAGGCTCAGGTGAAGGCGCAAACGGCACCCTGCTCGAGTTCTTGGAGAGCTGTTCCAAATCAGAATGGGGAGCAAGGGGATCCATCAGTCCACAATAGTCACACACTCTCCTCCAGCACCACGTTTCAAACGCCATCCCTTTTCTTCCAGCCGGCTTTCTTCACCGTTCGGCTTTCACACACGTGCACAGTGACTGGCGATACGCTCGTTCAGAAGATCTTGACCTCGGTCTCCAGTGACGCATCCTTAGCTTGATTATCTTTTCTAGTTCCTTCGTGGCTGCCATTCCAGGCCTCTGTTTTCTAATTTCTCGCCTGCAGCCTCCCTGTGAATTGCTGATTGAGCTTAAGGTTTGCAAATGCTTTTGCAGTTTCGGTTCCTTGATTGTGGTCCTTGAAAATGTGCGGTTCTTCTGGACTTTGTTTTCTTAACGTTCAGCTGCAGTCCTGTTTCGGCACACCCCTCTTTCGCTTTCACATCATCACGGCTTTCTTTCCTGCCGCTAGTGAAAGACAATGTGGGAAGTCTTTCTGCTTGGCAGTGAGTGAATCCAGCTGTAATTTTTTTACACTGTCAAGACTAACATCAAACCCATCTCTTGCAAACATGCTTTGCATTTATATTATCTTTAATTTCTGACAGAGAGGATGTTTGAAGACACTGCAAAGCTAATTATATAGTATTACCCTTTCTTCCCCCACATTCTAATATTCCGTTTTGGCCCATGAGACACATGAGTATGTCTTGAAATCTTGAACAAAATATAACCTATTTTCTCACTAGTATATGAATACCCCCTTTTTTAAACTGATGTTCTGGCAGGACATCTGTTAATCTAAAATCTATAGTACAATAGCGTGACTGGGCTCAGGTAAGACAATAACCTACCCTCACTGGTTGAGTATGGGTTGGGTGTAGGTTGCCATTGAACTGTGGGTTGTTCCCTTGTCTGAACCCAACTGCACTAACCAGTTATGGCTTGTTAACTATGAAAACCCCTTGAAGAGAATCCTTGGTTTGTGTTGGGTAGTGAACTGAGGGGTATTCATCATGGTTCATCAACTTAAACCAATCTTCCCCAGCTAGGCACCCTCCAAACTGTTAGGCTGTAACTTCAATCTTCCCCAGCCAGCCCAGGCCCTGGGGACGATGGGAGCTGTAGTACAACATATCTGCAGTCTCTGTGGTTGGGCAAGCTGATTTCAACTGAGAAGGTAGACAGTGCAGCATAGTGGTGAGAGGGTCACACTTGGACTCAGGTGATCTGAGTTCTACTCCCCACTCATCCATGAAGCTTACTGAGTAACCTTGGACCAGTGACCGACTCTGCCTAGCCTACCTCACAGGGTTGTTGTGATGATAAAACAGAGCAAAGGAGAGCCTTGTAAGCTGCCTTGAGTTCCTTGTGAAAGGAAGAAAAGTGAGATATAAATGTAATGAAATGAAAGTAATAGTAAACGGCACCGTTCTCAAAGCATTTCATATACATTATGCATTTCATATACATTATCTTAGTAATCATCACAGCACCTTTGTAGGGCAAGTTAGTATTCTCATCCTCATAGTACAGGTAGGTGTCTAATCCTGCCTCACAGAAATTCAGCTGGCTCCCATGTTAATCATCTTTCTATGGATGATAAAAACTTTACTCTTCCATTGAGTTTTCGAGGATTAATGCTGCAATTTCTTTTTAGAGTATTCCCTTGTTTTCTTGTAATAAATGCATTTTGTTTGCTTTTATGTTTAAAAAAGCAAACAAACATAACATGTTTGTGTGTATAACAATTTTATTGCTAGACATGGGGTACAGAGATTATCCAGCTCAGTGAAAAACAGACAGCTGTGTTTCCTTGTAATGATTTCTTCCCAATTGATTCATCCTAATAGCTGGCAAATGTTTGCACACCTGAGGGAAATGCCAGCAAACTTAACTTTGATAGCCTGCCTTCCTGATGAAATCTTTCTGCTACAGAAGTATCTAGCTTGTTAGCAATCAGAGCAGCTCCAATACGAAGACATTAATAACTTTTAACCTTTTTTTCTCAAATACAACTGCATACAAAGCATCGATTTTTCATATTTCCCGTAATGTTCTCAATACATAATTCCATTGGGTACTTTGCCAGTGTTGTGAAATTCTCCCTTTAAAGATGAAGAAAATGGAGAGGCGAACACAGGGTCATGTACGTTGGTATTGTAATAGTAATGAATAATAGCAGTTTATTTCCTTAAGGATGTTCTCTTATGTATTTCACAGAGCTGAAAATCAGTAACCAAAAGCACTTGCAGGAAACCCTTTGAAGAAAAAAAAGGGGACATGATGCTCCCCATGTATGTGTGGGGTGTCTGTGAAAGTATTGGACTGGGAAGCTCAGAAACATGGGTTCTAGAACACCCCCCCCCCCCCACACACACACACACACACACACTTCCAGCCAGAAAGCTCCCTGGATGACTTTGGACCAGTCAGTGACTCTCAGCCTATCCTACCTCACAGGACTGTTGTAAGGATAAAAGCCAGAACTGGATTGTGTAAACCACTCTGGGTTCCTTGTGAGAGGAAAAATGGTAGGATATGAATTAATATAACAATAACTATTAATTAACAATAACTATTAATATAACAATAAATGCATAACTAAGGGTGAGATCCTATTCCTGTTTGTTTCAATACCACCCAGCAGCCAAAGCTCTCAAGGTGGTTCACAACAATTAATCAAATACAAAAGATACAACGCAAATACAGATGCAAGAAACTAAATTATATAATTCCTGTGTACAAATTTAAAACGGCTAAAAATCCCAATATACAAAAAATATAAAAGTTTAACATCTAAAATATTTTCATTAAAACTAGTCCTAATTTAAACAGCAAGCAGAACCCATCATGTGCCATTAAATGCCTGGGAAGAGAGGACAGTTGTCACTGACACAACAGAAATGACAACGTCGGTGCTAGGTGGACCTCAGCGATTACAGGGAAGATACCCTCAAACTCCCATCCTGCATAAGATTGTGCGCTATATTAATCAAACATGTACTCAGCATTTCCCAGCCAGAAAGAAACACTACAATTCCCAGCATCCACCAGGCAGCCTATCTGGGGAATTCTGGGAATCAAAGGACTTCTTTCTGGCTGGGGTCCACTGGGACTTGTGGGGGGCAGATCCTGCATAAACTTGCATAAGATTGTACCCCAAAAGAGAAGAGGTGCAGGAGAGACCTAACACTCTGAGCTTATACTCGTTGCTGGCATTCACCAGGACTTATTCCCAGCTAAATACATTTTGAGTTGCTGTCTTAAGCTGCTAGTCCTTTGTGTCAACTCTTATCATTCCATCATGTTATTTTCCTCAATTAAGCCCTTCACCAGCAGCACCTCCATACGCCTGACTGCCTTCACTCAACCAACAACGTCGCTGCTAGCAATTAAAGGATCCTTTCCCCACTCTAACAACAAACGTCTTTGCTTGGAAAGGGCGAGGCAATGAAGAACCTGAAGGGCCCAAACGCCCCCGGAACCTTGGCGCTTGAGGAACCGCTTTCCGCACGGGCAGCTTTTAGCGAGGGACCTGCGCGCATGCTCAGAATTGACCTGTCGGGGAAAATGGCGGAGGGATGAGCCGGGGAGGGGTGTGAAGAGACTGGTTGTGTTTTTAGTTCTCCTTTTCCCTCGACTTAGTCCCGGCTGCGGGGAGGGGGACAGTGGCAGGATGTACACAGCGGGGACGGAAAGCTTCCTGCGCCAGGCCAGGTAGGAGGGAAAGGAAGACGATAAATGCAGAAATATAATCAGAAGAGCCTCTTGTTTTCGACTTCTTATACGGGAAGTTCAAGGCAACCTACATGGTCTTTTCACACACAAATCCACACCCTCCCTATTCTTTGTTAGGCCATTTAGTCTGAGATATATTGATTTGCCCAAAATCACAGAGTTGCTCACTGGAAAAAATAGTTTGGGAGAATGAAAGGATTACACAGACTTTGAGGAGAACAGATTTTGCTATACACATTAAAAGCAAGTAGACCATCACGGAATGCTAGGAGAGTAAATGGGGTAAGGGAGTTCCATTTAAGGGACATTCAAGCTGCCCAAGGGATTTTCTGTCCAAGTAGAGTTTAGAAGTCTGAGTTTTCTCAGTTCTGATTTACGCAACAGTTCTGATCTGTAGAGAGTGTAGATTGATAGAGTCCAAGTCCCCCCGCTGTACTGAGGACAGAAATACCAATGGGGGTAAATAACTCTGCTGTTTTTAATAACTCTGTTTTGTATAAAAGACTGTTTCAATCATTAAATAGTTTTTAAAATTTCACACTTTTTAAATTCTGGAATTACTGAAAAGTTTACAGTTCTTATTGTATAATGGTTCTGTTTAAGAACTGTTTTAAACTACCCAGAGTGCTTTGGCTATGGGTGGTACAGATGTCAAATAAATCGTAATATTAAATAATGAAGATGCTGAAGAAGAAGAATACATTTTCCCATGATTTGCCAGGTTGTATGGAGCCGCCATTTTGAATATGTGATATCTGAGCAGCCCATGACATGCACATCCAGGCACTATGGGTTAAATAAACTGCAATTAACCTGTGATCCACTTCTTATTTAACCTTCAGTTTTTTGCTGTTATGTGTCAGTGGACTCTCACACAGAGAACTAACAGGATATCTAAAGCTTAAATGTCGGTATTTATTATTAACCTTTAAAATGCCACACAACTCTCATGGTGTATTTGCTGTAACAGAGTAACATGGCTACAACTCCAAAATCAGAGTTGTTCTGTTGGGGTTGATGTTGGAAAGATCCCAGTTTTCAGAAATTTCCCATTTTTGTAGGTCTTTCATTGTATGGAAGCAGCTATCTTGTCCTGCATCTGTACTGTTGATCTGTCCAGCTTGCTGCTACCTGCTCTGACTGGTAGTGTTGACACAATCTTTCCAAACCCTGCTACTTAGAATCTACTGAGTAGAACTGCCAGGAATTGAACCTGGAGGTTTATATAGGGAATCCACATGCTTTTCCATGGAGTGTATGAGAAAAGACCTTGGGTGTTATTGGTAAAGGTCTGACTTGGAAGCCTGCACCAAATGGGGATTTCTTGAATATTCTTTTCCCCTCCTTTTAGGGAGATACAAGATGAAGAGCTGAAAAAATTCATTTCTCGAATCACAGGCTTCCTTCAAAATCAAGACTTCGGGAATGAAGCAGTCGCATGTCTGCAAAGGCTCTTCCTTATCATCTCAGCCACTAAATATGGTCGACAGTGAGTGAAAACAAAAGTGCTGATCTTGTCATGTCTAAGGAAATGGTGGTGGTATTTTTGTAGCTCCATCAACAAAAAGCCATGGATGGTTTTAAGCTGATGCTACATGTGATAAGCGAGTTTCCTCTTTGTCTATCGATTCTAGATGTCTTGATTTTAGAAAAAAACTTCTCCCATCTTTTATTTAAGATGTCTTAAATGGTATGGCCAATTTACGTTAACACGAATGTTTCTGCAGTTACAAAATATATAGTACATATGATAGAGTTTTTAAAAGTATATATGATAGAGTTTTATATCTCATCCTTTTGCGGAAGAACTCAGGACGGCTTACATAATATAAAATTCTGAAATTTAGCTACACTTTATACAATATGTTTCCCTATTCAAATAGTTTTGTTCAACTCTTTTTGGCTGTGGGGGTATTTTTAGACATACATGCAATTCATAAAATGAGAGCAGGAAACAGTTGTTAAAATGGAACAGAAATGTGAAAATGTGTTAGGCTGCAGTGTTGACACGCAGTGAGCTCAGTGAGGCTTACCTCTGAGTAGAGAGGTACAGAATTGTGCTCTTAGTTTGGATTGATTTTGTGTTTGCTGCTCAGCATGATGGCTTCTTTACAGGCTGGATGGCAACTTTGTGGAACTTTTACAGACAGTGCTGCATCTCCCAAAGTGCCCTGAACAGGTTCAGATACTTTGTGCCGCCATCTTGAGAGAGATGTCGCCTTGCACTGACTTAACTCTGTCTTGGGATAAGATCCAGAACACGAAGCTCTTGAGTCTGGCGTTCTCCATCCTGCTAGCCCAAGTAAGTGTTTAGAAAGCCTGTGATTCAGTTCTGTACGTAAGTTATTTCCTTTTTCCTGAGGCCGATTACACACCTAGAATTTGTGCATGGGAAGATCATTTTCCTTAAATGATCATCTTTCTCGGCCTTTTTGAAAACCTCCCCCATGTGGTAAGATCTGGTATTTCCTAGCTTTGGACAATCCCGCAAACGAAAGGGCCCTTAATGCCATAGGACAGTGAGTGAGTATGCTCAAAAAATGCCTGATTTCTGGTTTATTATCAAGTTTCTGAGCCTGGAAACTGGTGTGCCTATGGTTTCTTGCTGGGTTCGCTCTGGGTTGTTTAACTCCTAAACAGCCTGGAACTTCAGGTCTAGATGTCATGATAGCTAGCCAAGAATTGGGTGCTCCTGGATTGTGGATAGAGAACAGAAGCCATGAACACAGGGAAGGCAGCTTGCTTGCGGCTGCCCTACCATGGCAATTCTTGGATTAAACCATCCAGGAACTGCTATGATACCTGAACCAGCTCGTGTGTGTGCACCAGGTGTAAAATACATAGCCAGAACACAAATGCCTTTCTGCTCACTTCTGCTCTGGGGCATTCACATGTTTGCTTTGCCCTAAGGGCCATACAAAGTCGGACATAGAAGCTGTGGGGCAGCATGTGGTGAAAGTCCTGGAGGGCAGACTTCCCGAAGGCCAGCAAGCACGGCATCTCCTCCCCATCCTGTCCAAGGCCATCAGCTTTGCACCAACGAGCCTCAGCAAAGGTAAATGCAGGAAATGCAGAGGTGAATGCTTAGAGGCCATGAGGACTCTGAAGGTACCGGCTGTCCATGAAACCTGGGTGTTTTCCAATTCCTGGCAAGCTCCAGGCACTTCCCAGGCTGGCTGGTGGCGGAGACTAGGATTGCTAAAGGGACTCACCATTGCCCTCTCTTGTGTCTTTCTGGATCCATAGATCAGGTCAATCTGCTCAGCAAGAGAATGGTGGACTGGCTGAGGTACGCCAGTGTGCAGCAAGGGGTTCCCCAGTCCTCGGGGGGGTTCTTCAACCCCAGAGCCAGACAGGTGAGGAACTGCAGACCGGGCTCCGTCTGTTTTTAAAGAGATGGCATATTGAACAGTTGCTCAGTGGGTATAATACATGGAGCATTGGGCAGGATGCAGGGAAGATGAACATTTGGGTTGGCATGGGCAAGCACTGCACACTTGGAAGCGTCGCTCAAGGTGGCTTGAACATACAGGCGGTGCATCTTACGGCCACAGTTTCTCCTTTCCCCTGGGGGAAGACACTTCTTTTCCCAAAACAATCCACATTCCAATTGGGTAAACAGAGCACCCAGAATGAACGACGTAGCCTGTTTTGGCGTACGGTCCCTCATGGGCTGCACAAATTCATTCAAGAGAGACATTCCTAGCCCTGCTGGGGGCCTTCCTTGGGGTGTCTCAAGTTGCTGGACCGAATTAGGTCTCAGTTTGATCCAGCAGGTCTTCCTCACGCTCTCAGGCCTGAATCTGCCTGCTGCCGCCAAGCCATTGTGGGCCTCCCACAGTAAACATCCCCTGCATGCAAACCTGGACTAGATGCTGCTTTCAAGGACAGCCACTCTGTCAAAAAGTTCTGCGGTGTAACCAGCTTTTCCCGCTCCCCCCAGCCTGGCCCCATCACAGAGGTGGATGGCACGGTGGCCACAGACTTCTTTACTGTGCTCTCCATCGGCCAGTATTACACGGAGGATCAGTGGCTCAACATGCAGGCCTTCTCCATGCTGCAGAAGTGGCTGCTCTGCTATGGGAGCGATGGAGCAACTGGTCCAAATTCAGGTAAGGGTTCTTCGTGGTGGTTGGCTGAACGGGTGGCAGAAGTATTTATGTGTCTGTACTGAGATAACCATTCTTGATGTCATTTCTTGGCAAAGCGGTTACTGTGTGGCTTGTGAGTCTGCGTTCGGGGCATCGGTGCAATTTAGGGAACCTACATAAAGTACGATATTCATGTGGTGCAATTGGGGCATTTCCCAAACTGGGCACCAGGAGCAGCCTGCAAGTGAAATGGGCAAAATTGTGACTCCCGTGAGACTGAAGAGGCGTCTGATCGATGCTTTTCTGTATGAGTGACTGTTCTGGCCTTGCCCCTCCTCCTGGGAGTAGCAAAATTCTGCCACATCCTTGCATGCCAGCTGCTTAGATCATCTATCCACTCTCGGTACAGAGAAGCAGTCGAGCATCCCGGGACGGCGTCAAGAACAGTGGCCCATGCAGCAGCATCAGGGTGGTCTTGGCAGTCAACGGGGCGGAGTGGGATGGGAGGGTGGGCAATACTTTCAGCTTGAATTCAGAAGGAACGTGCCTCTCCTCCACCGGGCATCTGGGAGACGTTTGGCTTGTTCTCTCTGCCCCATCTTGTCACACTCTCTCTGCAGACGACAAGTCAGAGGTGGACGGCTCTGTTGTGTCCATGGTCTCAGTCACGTCCACCTCCAGCCGCCTGCTTCCGCCAAAGGAGCGCCTGAGGGAGAAGGCGTTCGAGTACTGCCAGCGGCTTATAGAGCAGAGTAACCGCCGTGAGTCTAGTTATTTACTTGGGACAGGGAAAGGAGTTGGCCTGATTTCCAGAAAGGATGGTGGGAACTCGGAGCTGATGCAGACTTCTTTACTCCTCTCCTTTCCCATATTATATCCTTTCCCAGTTTGCACGGTCAGCTGGAAACATCCCAGTCTGTTGGCCATGTTCGCTAGGGCTGATGGCAGACGAAGTCTGCGACCTCTAGAGGAGACCGGGCTGGGGAAGCTTGGCTTAAAACAATGTGCGAACGCAGCAGCTCTTTTTTGGCAGTCACTTGCGCGTGGGGAAAACGGCCAGCCTTTCCCGGCCTGGTGCTCTGCATATGCACGGCCCTGTAGCCCCCAGCTTCAGATGCCAAAGCAGAGGCCATGGCAGTGCACGCTCCTGGATGAAGAGAGCAACACAGGAAGCCGATTCAGGGCATGGGTCCACGCTGCCAACGGCTGGCAGGCCCTTGCCTAACCCGACCCAGAGACTGAACTGGACCTTCTGCATGCAGACCAGGAGCTTTGCCACAAAGCCGCGTGTTCTCCCCTCCTCATTATCTCTGGAGCGACTCCACTGGGAGAAGCTGCATCCGGGCAGGGGATGGTCGAGAGTCAAAAGTGCATGCTCTGCACCGCTGCAGTATAGAGCGTGCTCTGCCATCCCATCTCTGTGGGCCTCGTGAAGCCCGGCTGAGGGCTGGACGTGGGCCAGGCATTTCCGACTCTGGTTGGAAGAGTCTGAGTTGGATTTGTTTTGTCTGTCAGGGGCTCTGAAGAAAGCAGATGGGGAACTGCAGAAAGCTGTAAGTATGTCGCAGGAAGGTCTGAGCGTTTGGCAAGCAGCTGGCAGTGACCTGGAGTTTCTGACCAGCGGTCCTCTTCCTCTCTCGCACAGTGCCTCATCGAAGCGATCACGATCATGGACTTAATTTGCAGGCAGGACTCCTCCTATGTCTACCGCTCGCTCTCCTGCATGAAGAACCTGCACGGCCGGCTCAGTGGGGATCTTTCCCATGCCAGGGTGCTGCTGCCCATCGCCCAGTTCTTCCTGAACCACAGTGAGTCCGAATGGCTGGCTCCTCCTCTTTCGAGGACAATGCCATCTAGCTTCACCTGGGTCAAGAGTGTGCAATGTCTGACTGAGGCATGGGGAGAGAACTGGCCTCCCTCTGCACCCTCCAGGAAGCCCACCCACTGGAAGAACCTGAGGAGGCTCCATGAGCCAGACAGGAAACTTCCGTAGGCCACAGGTTCCCTGTCCCTGATCACATAGCGCTGATCCTTTTATGCAACCTGGCAGCTGACAGTCCAACCACAGGACCGTTCATTGATGGACCTGAGGTGGTGTGTACATTTTCGGACATAATCCTGTGCCTCTCAGTTGACTGGGGAATGCTGGGAATTTTAAGACCTCTTTCTGTCTGAACCTGCATGGGATTGTACCCATCGTTATTTCCTTTTCCCTTACCTGTGCTGTGTTCTCTCTCCCCACACCGAGGCGAGACAGCAGCTGTGGACTCTGAAGCAGTTTACAAGCACCTCTTCACCAAAGTTCCTGCTCAGCTTTTCCACAGCCCAATGCTGGCCTACGAATTCATCCAGTTCTGTAGGCACAACGCCCTGTTTTTCACCGAGAACCTCAGCATCTTCCGGCAGAACACCCCAAACCTGTTCAAGGTACTGTGTGCCGAGGCTTTGTGGGGTCTCGCTGTTTGTCCACGTGAGTCCTGAAGGGAGTTTCTGGCCCGAAAGGTAGCTGCACACCTCAGTGGTCTCTGCCTTACATGGGTGTTGATGGGCCAGTCAGTTGTCTCAGTAAAAGGCAACTTCCAAGGGAGAAGAGCCGTGTGTCCAGAGTTTCGCCCTTATCGCCCAGAGTTTCACCTCCTGCCCACCGAGGGAATCTCTTGTTGAGGTACCTGAAGAGGGCTGTCTCCATCATTATGGTCTGGCTTGCCTCCCCTTACAGTTCCTGGCGTGGAACAGCCCGGCCCTCATCGCTGAGTACCTGGACCTTTTGCCAGCCCTGCTCGGAGCAGACATGGCCCTGGAAATCTTTCACTTGCTGCTGGACCTGCCTTGTTTAGCAGCTGCGCTGGATGTTCAGCTGAGGTGAGGACTCCCTGCCTGTCCTTCTCCCCAGGGAACTCTAAGCAGCCTCCCTTTGCTGGGCTTCGGGCGGCGCTCCTGCAGCTCCGAGTTGCAACTCTGGCTTGAGAGGCAGAGGTGGAGATGCAACGGAGCCAGGGGAGGAGGAGAAGAAAGCACCGTTCTTTTCTGGGTTGGCTGCTCTCCAGGCCGGCTGGTTCATCGGTGGTTGTCATTCTAAAAATGCTTTCTTTTCGTCGCTAACCCAGGGACCAGCATGGAGGCATAAAAGCTCTTTCAGCCTGAAGGCTGAATTCCATTTCAGAGAGGCTCTCAGGGACTGTGCTGCAGCGGCAGGAGGGGCAAGGCAGTGGCTGGGCCCAAGCAGCCCGTTCTGTCATCAGTTTCCCGGGGTGCAACCTCATGCGTCGTCAGGGCAGGGAAGGGCCCGCATAGCTGTTCCGTCCAAACATGCATGGGACTGCACCCTTCGTACCCACAATTAAGCCTTCAGAAAGGCGTTTCAGCCTTTTATAATAGGGGAAACTGCACAAAAGCAGGGTAACCCGCAAAAAGTTGGGGGTTGGTCCATGGGGAAGGGGGTGTTTCTGTCTGGAGAAGCCTGGGAGCCCCCGGGACTGAGGGGGTTCCTACAGCTCTTCCGCAATGCGAGTTTCTGCACCTGTGGAGTAGTGGCTTCACAACGGCAAGGATTTCCAATGGAGGCTGCAGACTAATTTGAATCTACAAGCTGTTGAAAGGGGAAGGAGGTTGCCTGTGGCCAGATGGCACTCTGCCTCTTTATGGGCAGTGCAGGTGACCACCTGTATGTGTTTGGGATCTGTCACTAGGTCTGCCCTGACTCCCATGTCCGAGCGGACCACCTTGGACCCCACCCTGAAGCCGACCACCTGCCTGGAAGCCTTCCGGCACCCGGAGTACAGGGCCCTCTTCCAGTATCTCCTCCGTGCGGAGTCTGCTCCCGGGGACCCCAGCAGGTAGGTGAATATCGCCAAGTTGAAGTCTTCTTTCCCCCTTGCTGGCTTCATTTCAGTTTTAGATGCATCCTCAGATTGATGCTCTCAAGACAGTTTGCAGTATCTTTAAAATATGTTTTTGCTGTTGTGGTGCTTAAGATTTGTTTATACCCTGTCTTATTTGCTAAAAAGACATCAAGGCAACATTAAGCAATCTAAACAAAAGTATCTTTTAAAAACAGTAAAAAATAAGTCCACTGGAACCAGTGAAGCATTGTGACATTTGGGGCACAAGCCGACGCAAGTGGAGTCAGAAGCAGAGACTGCCTCCGTTTGCAGCGGGTCATTTGCTAGAACAGCGGCGTAATTTATAAAACGAACACTGCAGTCCCACGCATGTCTATTCAGAAGCTAAGCCTGTACAATTCAGTATGTCGTATTCTCAGGAAAATCTGTATAGGTTTGCAGCCTAAATTAGAGCAGGTCTTCACAGCCTTTGTAAAGGCCCAGAGAGTTGTGGGGGGGCCGCAACCTCCCCTTTTGAGGGAGCACATCCCAGACTTTTGGAGCAGCACACGAGAAAGCCCTTCCAGGCATATCCTGCAAACAGGCCTTTGGAGGAACGGTGTCCTCAAAAGCTCTCCTCATGCAGATCTGAAGACACGGGCGTGGTCAGGAGAAGACGGGCAGCCCAGTCAGCAGCCGGCTTCTAATTTGTCCAGGACTTTAAAGATGGACAGCAGCACCTTGAACTGAGCCCAGAAAACAATCGCCTGCCTGCAGTGAGTGGAGGGGCTTTGAATCACTGGCTGGCTGTGAGCCAAGCATTGCTTCGCAGCAAGAAAGTGTGACAAGCCAAACAGAGGGTTCCAATTGTGATTGTCCCAGTAAAGGCCCCCCAGTTGCAGGAAGGCTCCTCGAAATTGCAGCAGGTAGCAGTTAAAGCACCTCGCTTTCCCTTGGATAACCTCCACAACAACCCTGTAAGGCAGGCTGATATTACAAGCCCCACACTACTGAGAAGAGGCTGGGAGTGGCTCAGCCACGCCGGGAGTGAGTTCAAAGCAAGACACCGCTTGAGCAAGGAAATCTCAGCTCATGCAGTGTGAATTCCAGTCCTGCCAGCTGGAGCCAGCCTCAGCCGGCACAGAACACATCCTGGCACTTCCCCAGTGGGACAGAGGTTTGGGAGGAGCCAGAGGCCCCCAGAGTTGACGGCTTCTGCAATGCCTTGCCAACAGGTTGTCTCCCCTCCGCCAGCTTCTGGGAACCATGGCCGCTTCCCCTCGCGTCGTGCAGTGTGCGGAGTGTGTGCCCATCTTACTGCAGCTCTTCTTCGGGGTCGTAGCCAAGGTGAGGCTCCGAAACCCGAGCGGGAGGGCGTTCACCAGCACGTACTCTGGAGAACTGGCTTCCACAAGGTGTCGTGGTGGCTTCAAAGGGAGATGGAACATTCACGGAGGACAAGGCTGTCGGTGGCCAGCGGTCCTGGGTTCTGTGTGGCCCCCAGTATCAGGCAGCATGCCGCTTGCTGGGGAGCATGGGTCGGAAGGTGCTGTTGCACTCTAGCCCTGCTTACGCTTTTCCTCTGGGTTCCTCTGTGTGAACAGAACGCTGGCCTGGCCGGACCTTAGTCTGATCTAAGCCTCTCTATTTTCTTGTGTCGCTAAACCATGGCTTGTGGCATGTGCCCGAGGCAAACCGTGATTCAAGCCGTTTCTGTGCTTTCCCAGCTTGCACGGCGACAGGCAGGAGGCACAGCATCACCTCATGACAAGCCCCCCAGATACAAGGTTTAAAGCTGAGTCAGCAGTTCAGTGTACATTTGGGACCTTCTCCAAGACCACATTAAACCAGGGTTCATACCAACAATGGTTGAGCCGTTTGAGCGCCACCAAGCTGACATGGTGATGGTGGCGGAGCCCCTGTCTCCGTTTTCCTAGTTAACGCCAAAATAGGAGACTCTCCCTTCTTCTTCTTCTTCTCCAGTTTGCAGACGGGGCTCTTGTGAACAAGCTGGTTTTGGCTATGCTGGAGAGAAGCGAGCAACTTTATGAGCTCCCAGCTTTCAAGGCAGAGGTATACAGGTGAGTGTGGGTGCCCCGAGGTGGGGAGGGATTGAAAGCGGGCCCTCCAGGGCACAGGAAAACTACAAAGTCTTCAGCCCTGGCAGCAACAGAAGCTCTTGGACGACCCGGTTCTATACCATCATTTGGTCTATTTATTTGTTTACAGAGCTGTTGATTAGTAGAGTTAGGATCTTCTGTGCCATATTGGCTTTCTAGTGATAGTCTTAAGTATTTTGGCGCTAACATCTCCACCCCGAGTGTAGCACAATGTGGCATGAATAATACAAAATTGGGCCCACCTGAACCAATGTCACACCTGTTTGCATCACCTCCTCCCTAGACCTGCCCCAGATTCAGTTTCTGGATCAGCTTGCGACAGAGAAAAGCTGTAGAATTGCCCATTGCTGATGGGCAGTGGAAGAAACAGGCTCCTCTGTCCATTCTGATTAAAGGCATTCCACTGGATGGATCATGCTAATTTAATTAAATAAATGTGTACATGGATACAAATAACTCTTAAGCAAGAAATATTTCTTTCCAAACAACATGCACGTTCTGTAGGGAGCCTCCTCTTAGTTCATCCAGTTCCCTCCCGTAGAAGCGAGAGGATGGCGGTCTGCTTTTGTAGCTGTATTTAAAAAATAGTTTGCAACTCGGCTTTGCCCAGTCTGGATTGACGTCTTAATTGATTGGAGGTGCTTTCAAGCAGTGGATCGAACACATCAATCTGTTAAGCCCCACGGCCCTAGGAAAGGCATCCAGGGGGTGCCACGGAAGCCCACCGTGGCGGTTGCATTTCTGCTCTGCATGGGGCAAACTAGAATAGCATGCAGAGAAGGAAAAGGCCCTCCACGCTTGGAGTAAAGGCGGCTAGGGTTCTGCTGCCAGAAGAGCCTCGCGGGGACCGTGTCAAGAGCTCACCTTCCGAAAGCGTAGGCGGAAGTAGTCCGATTGCAGTGGGGTGTTAGAAGCCTTGCACAATGCATCCCTGTCTCTCCTTTGTCGGCAGAGCGATGAGTTCCCAGCTGCCGGTGCTGTGCAAGCTGCACCCTTCGTTGGTCGTGGAACTCTCCACAGAGCTTTTGGAGTTTTCGGGAGCCATCTCCAACATTGACAGCAAAGAGGACGTCTTCACCCATGTGGTAAAGAGAAGCCCACACTCCTCGGAGGGCAGGATGCTTCCCCTAGCCAGGTTCCCTTGCAGGATATTCCCTGAGGGCACGATCCTTCGCATGTTTGGGTAGGGAAAAGTGCGACACTTCCTGATAGTTGCTCAGCCACCTTGGCTCAGTCACCAATTCTAAGGGAGGCTGAAGGAAGACTGGAATGGGCAGCCAGGAAGGAACTGGGAAAGGTCAAAGGTAAGGCAGTCTCCACTGGGAGACCAGTGCCAAAAGCACCCAACTGCTGTGTTACCAGTCACTGGGAATGGGTGTGAAGGCTGGACAGTGAGGAACCGACCAGAAGAACATCGATACATCTAAAATATGGTGCTGGAGGAAAGCTTAGCAAATTCCCTGGACTGGCAGAAAGAGGAGCACGTGGGCGCTAGATCACATCAAGGCGGCACTTTCTCCAGAAGCCGAAATGATGAAGCTGGAGCTGTCATATTTGGGGCACATCATGCGAACACAAGAATCCCTGGAGAAGACCATCCTGCGAGGGAAAGCCGAAGGCAGGAGGAGGGCCATCTGGTCTCCCGCCCGGCCCCAGCCGGCCCTGCTCACGACACGCCCACCATGTGCACGTCCAGCCTGTCCTTGAACACCTGCACTGAGGGGGCCTCAGCCACCTTCCGTGGAAGCCCATTCCACACCCTCGGGGTCCCGACTGTCAGGAAGTGCTTCCTGGCCTCTAAACGGAACCTTGGCTCCCTGAGCTTTGCTCCGTTGGAGCACATCCTGCCTTCCTCTGCAGGGGAGAACCGGTCTCTACCCACCTCCATGTGACACCCCCTCACGTACCTGTAGGTCGCCAACATACCCCTCTGAGCCTCCATGTGATCCCCGAGCTACTCAAGGTTTGCAGTCATGAAGCCAGAAAATCCCATTAACTCCCATCCTCAGGGAATGTCCCACAATTAGGGCTGCGAAGATGGGTGTGGGCGTGCCAGTTCCCCTCCCTGAATGGCCGTGTCTCCTCTCCCAACAGGTCTGGGCCATTGGCGAATATGCATCGGTGTCGCATGATAAAAGGTGCACAGTGGAGCAGATCAACAAGTTCTTTGAAGTTCTGGAAGCCCTGCTCTTCGAAATCACCCAGTCTCGGCCCTCGGTCAGCGTCCCCAAGTCCTCGCCCCGCGTGACTGCCGTTCTCATGACTGCACTAACCAAGCTGGCATCACGCAGCCAGGACCTGATCCCAAGGTATGCGGTGGGCAACTGGGCGAGAGGCGCATGGCTGGCTTGTCGGTCTGGTTGGTGTGTGCTCGCGCATGGCTTGATCTGGTGGTGCCACAGCTTTTTCAGTAGAGCAAATGGCTTTGCATTTAGAACGCAGAGGGCAGTTGCTGGCTTTCCAGGGCCACTCCAACCCCAGTTCCCCTCGCCTCCACTCCTGTTCCTGCACTGCTTGTCACAACCAAACCACGGGGTACCGAACCGCTAGAGAAACACAAACAGAACCCATCTGGCCTGAAAAGATACCCACTTTTGCGTCTCCGTTGTGGTTTGCCACCCAATTTCAGCAGCAATTGTTCTGCTTCGCAACATTTGCACCTCCAAATTTTCAGCAGTGCAGAAGCGGTTCTGCCACTTTTGAAGTATTGGGTCCCAGCATCAGACCCTGGTATTTCAGGTAGCAGGACCTGGAAAGAAAGGCTTGTAGTATTTGCAAATCACAGAGTGCATATTTCGCTGGAACTGGAGGCCTTCCAGATATTGTCAGGATTTCCGCCCCTTGTCATCACTGACTTGGCCGTGGTGGCTGGGGCTGATGGGATTTGGACAACAGTTCGGCTACATAACATGGGACCAGGGTATTTGCGTGTGCGTCTCCTCCCTTACCAGCTGCCTGGTGTCGGGGGATTCTCTCTAGGGCAGAATGACAGTCTGGTTGCAGCAAAGCTTTCTGTGTACCCTTCTGCTGAACTCTTGCCGGTTGAAATTCAGCGTGTGCTGATGTTTTTCCAGCACCTGCTGCAGCATCCTTATTACAACCAGCTTTCCCTGATAGAAAGGCCAACCGTGTTTTTATTGGTATAATTGTATCATTCTGTTGTTTTCATCTGCGGTATTTTGGCACTGGTATTGCTCGCTGCTCAGAGCCCCGTAAACAGTATCTGGCTCCCCCCCCCGCCCCCAGGGTAGGCAGGCCAACGGCTTGGTTTCATCCAAGGCAGCTTCTCACTGCTTCTTTGCCCAGTCCTTGCTCCCCAGTCAGTCCTGGTCCTGCTGAGACTGGCGCTCACTCATCCCATGCAACCCACGTGTCTCTCTCTGCCCAGGGTTTCCCTGTTCCTGTCCAAGATGAGGGCCTTTGTCAAAAGCCCAGCGGTTTCCTCCATCTACAGCGCAGAGGATGCAGAAGCAATCCTGACGCGGGCCACCGAGCTCATGAACTTGCTGAAAATGCCCAGCGTGGCTCAGTTTGTGCTGACCCCATCGCTCGAGGTCTCCAGCCCCCGCTTCCACCAGGACACGCACTCTTCCCTGCCCCTGGCCATGAAGACCACCAGCCGGCTTTTGGAGGGAGGCGCTGGCTCCGTTCCCGGCTGAGGCGAAGCTGGGTGGAGCTGCAGAGGCCAGCCTTGTCTTGGGCGCTTCCATTTTGACTCTGGGATCGAGGCAGAGGGTGGGCCATTCCACAGAGTGGGAGACTCCCTCGGAAGCGGACCGGTGCTGTATGGCTGTTGCTGAGAAGTAAAATCGACCACAGTGAAAAACTTCCCTTTCCCAAGCTGCACGGATTTGTGCCTCCTCGGTTGGTTGGGGTGCCCCCGCCCCAACCCCCCCGGCCCTCTCCTCAGGTAGCTGAGAACCCCACTTACACCCTCAACTGGTCACACAGCTTGCAAGCTTCTTTTCCCACCACTGTAGTTTGTTTTCCCGTATAGTGAAGGCATATGAGGCATGTTGGATCCAAACCCCTCTGTAGATAAATAGCTTGTCTGAGTATCCCTAAGGGGAATAAGCATTCCTCCTGCATCCAGGGCCTCTGAAAGGAGGTGGCCAGAGGCTGGGGGCTTTTTGACTGCCTGGCCCCTCCCTCCCAGTCTTGGTCCTCCTTGGCTAGAGCTGAAATAAAAGGCCCGGCTCGGTCCAGCTACACGGAATCCTGAAACCAGTGGGAGGGGTTGCGCACGAGTCCAATTCCATCGAGTGGTGGCTAGCCTTCCCCTTATTTTCTTTGGAGCAGCAAGCCACTGTTTTTTATGAGCACAGGAAGCGACCTTACAATGACTCCACTGGCCCATCTAGCCCAGTGCAGCAGACTCTGGCTGGCAGCAGCCGCTCTGTAGGGTTTCCGGCAGGATTCTTCCCAAGTCCTGCCTGGAGATGCTGGGGATCCAGCTTGCAGTCTCCTACAGAGCAGGTGTGAGCCACATCCTCTCCCCTTCTGGGGGCCCTACAGACAGTTATTTCCCTCTGACTTGAAAAAGGGAGAGTCATAAAATGACTCTACTCCCCTGGGCTTTGCTGAACACAATCGGAAGCCCATTGTTTGATCACACAGCAAAGGCTTCACACAGCACAGCAGAGCCGCTGCCAGCCCTGGTAGTCAAAGCCGAGGCAGATGGGCCCGTGATCAGGCTTTGAGCAAGGTGGCAGCTTGTGGAAGGTGAAGCAAAAGAAGGCTTCCAGGCCCTCCTCCCCCCATCCCTCCCCCCTTTTAAACTCTTCAGCCTGAGTGCCCTCCCTCCTCCCTCTGCATCAGTGGAAACTAACGTGCTGCCTGGAGTCACTGGCTTGGCCTTTTCTCCCAGTGGTTTTTGGTCTTAACACTGGGAGGCTGCCAGCTGTTTGGTGTGTCCTCACCTGTCATCTTGAGTTAATAGGGAGCAGCATAGGAGAACTCCTGGGCTCAGGATGCCCTGTGAGCTGGTTTGCCATGGGGTACAGTAAGATAGCAAAGTTAACAGCTGGAGGAGGGGGCCGTTGCTTGAACGTGCCCACCTTAGAAACTTCCACACACAGATTTAAAAAGAAAAAAAAAAAAAACTCGGCCATGTGAGTGCAGGACCACCTCTCTGCTGCACAAGCCTTCTCCTCATGACACGCTGCGGCTGCCCACAGGATCCCTGGTGCAGGATGGGTGCAAGCGCCTCAGCAGCTGAGGCATGCAGGCCGGCCACCTCTGGAAAAGGATAGCCCCTCCCCTCGTGAATCTGCCCAGGCCCCCTTTTAAAGCCGCCCTGACTGGTGGCCACCACCACTTCCCGTTTAAGCTCCATAGTTTATCTGCTGTGTGAAGAGGTACTTCCTTTTATCCGCTCTAAACCTCCTGCCAAAATGTCTCCCTTCCCGCATTCCCCTCACCATGCATTATTCTAAACACCTCTGTCCTGCCTCCCTCCCTTGTCTTTTTTTCCAAGCTAAAAAGCCCCAGCTAAACTTCTCCCATCCACCGAGGGGTTAGTGGGACAAGGGTCTTATAAACAAGTTAGTTCTCTTTTCCTGAGTGCGACTGCGGAGGAGGTCCGAAGTTGGTTCTTCTCACTACCCCGTCCACGTTCTTCTCCTCCCAGCTGCTGGGTATAATGGGATTGGGGGACGGGGCGGGCGGGAGCCCAATTGCAGCCCGATTCCAGAGATTGCACGGTGAGCTGCCCCATAATGCCAGTGGGAAGCTGCCTTGACTGAGCCAGATCATGGGGCCCATCCTCCCCAGCAGTGCTGGCATGGGCTGGCAGCCGTGGCACTCTGGCCTTCCAGCCAAGGGTTTTTCCTGCTCCCTCAGGAAAGGCCGGGAAGCAAAGCTGCATGCCAAGCAGGGACTCCAGCCCAAAGCCATGGGTCTTTCAGTGCCAGGGCTTTGGACAGAGCCGGGGGCAGCCTTGGGCCCCCCCCAGCAGGACTCAGCACAGTCAGGCGGAAAGTGAGGAATGGGCGGAAACAGTCCGGCAAGTTTGGAGGGGTTGTGTCCAGTTGTGTCCGTCCCCTAGAATAACCACCGTTGGGTGGCTCATGAACGACGGTCGTCCTGTTTGGCTAGGTGCGCTTGCAACAGCTAACAACTACAGGGTGGGTTTTTTGGTGGGGGGCGGTTAAAATCAGGCCTGTGGCCACCTGTCTTTCCTTGCCGTGACTCACAGAAATGCTCCCTCTCTCGGCTCTAGTCCACACAACTGCTTTCCCTTTGTACGTGTCTTAGTCCGGCCCAACGGTGAAACGGTGGGAGACAGTGGTAAGAAAGCACCGGCATCGTGTGTCCCCCGTACCCGGGCGCTCTTCCTCCAGCACCGCTGCTGGAAAGGAGCGCCGCGGTGGCGCGGCTCACTGCCGCTGGGCAGAGGCCGGGGAACGAGCGCCCCATTCATCCTTCGTTCGGGCCGACGGTGCCAGGCGCCCTCAAAAGTCCCGCTGGCTTGCAGGGAGAGGCCCGAGCCACAGAGGAGCAGCATTGCATCCCCAAAGCTGCCACTCCTGAGCGGCTCCCGTTGGCAGTGGACGCTTCCAGCGGCCAGCCAGGCGCTCTGGCTCCGGGTCCTGGGCAGTTCCAACCATCTGACGCTCAACGGGGGAGTGCTTGGTGCTGAGCCCAGGCATCCTCACGGCATCACCTGCCAATGGGGCAGCCACACGCACTGCTGGGAGACCCCGGTGGGGCCTGGAGAGGCGACGCACCCCCGACAGGAACCCCGGATTGTGGCCACCCTCGTCACGGGGCCACAGGTCAGCTTCTGTGGTTTTTACAGAAAGAGGCTCTGCTCCTTTACAGGTCACACAGCAAGCAGTAATTGGCTGTTGAATTTTTCGCATGTCCCTGCACCTCCCTCTAGAGAAGCAGTAGATAGAACCTCACATGTGCGCACCTGATTGCTTTCTTGAACCACCCCTGCCCTTTACCCTCACAATAACCCTGTGAGGTAGGTTAGACTGAGTATGTTGAGCTTCATTACGCTTCTTGGCTGGCTGGGGATTTGAACCCAGGCCTTCCCTAATGTGATCCGACATTCTAACACCAGGGACTTGCGATGTTTCTTCCCAAGCAGCACCCGCTGCTTCCTGCCTGTTCTGCTCTTGGCATCAAAGCCCAACTCTCCATAAAAAGAGAAAGAGACGGAGAGACGGCAATTCATGGCAATGTTTTAAAGACCAACTTGTAAACAGAATGCTGCAAGTTAAAGGTTAGGCTACAACCGTTTTCCCTTTGTATGAACCCACCTTCTCCCATGGGCAAGGGAGCTTCCCTAAAATTCCCACCTAGATGTAGTTCTTACTTTCATTAGGTGCCGCCCAGGAGTGTTTTGACTCCTGAAACATGGTTTTTAAAAGTGCTCCTTGACCGCAGCATCCCATGGAGGGAGGCAGCAAGCCCTGAGCAAAGAGGCCCCTTGAGCAGCGTGCAGAGTTTAGAAGAAAACACCAGGCTCCCCCATTCGTTGCCGCAGTCTCCAGTCAGGAGCAACAGAAACTGCTAGCTGGACACGTTCTTGAACCCGGCTTGCTTTAGCAGCACCATGGCCGCCCTCTGCCACTCCAGCTCATTTTGGGGCAGCCCAGAGCTCAGGAACTGAGAGAGAAGCAGTCTGGAGTAGCTGGGAGACGGCGATTTCAGACGGGCGACACCCAGATCCAAGGGGCATTGTGTGACCTGGACAGCTTGCACATTTGAGATGGAAAGTGGCTAGGCTGGTCCCAAGTCAGCACGTCCATGAAGAGCTGCCAGCAGATCCTGCTCACCGTCCCTGCTTGGAAAGTGCATGCTGGTATATACTGAGCGCCTCTTGTTCCCGGATGTGGGCAGCCACAGCCCAGCTCCCCACTCCGCCCCTCAGCTCTGACCAGGTGCTGCTCCAGGCCGCAGTCGGCACGTGCCAAGCTTGCCAGCCGCACACGCCAGCACTGGCCCGCATCATCGTCCTTGAGGCAGCATCCTCGGCGGAGAAGCAGAAGGGTTCTTCCAGGTGGACTTTTTTTACGGAGAAGGAGAAGAACTATAGCTGATTTTCTTGGCCACCTCCAGATCAGACTTGGCCACCAGAAACCGCAGTTTCTTTCCCCCTGATCGGATGAGGTCCACAGCACTAGGGGAAGGGGAGGAGGAGGAAAAGAACATGGCCAGGCGTGGGTGAGGCGAACCTGGAGTTGGTTCACATGTGCTTCTGTGTTGCCTGGTTGCCCAAGTCATTCGTGAGGGGCAGCTAAGTGTGCCGATGGGAAACCACACGGCAGTTGTGAAGCCAAAAGGCAAATTCTCTCTGTGCTCCATTCACACATACAAGCCTTCTCCCGATGGGGCAACCGCCAGTTGAATATGCATGTGTGAAGTAGCCCCTGGACGCTTAGCTTGTGGTGCATCAGGCTGATACGTTTGATGTGCAGAGTGCTGCAGTCTACACACAAGCAACAGCTGTTGCCCCATCCTTCCAGCATCTGCTAGAGTCTGGCTGGACCGGTCAACCAGCCGTTCCCCACCCACCAGCCTGGTAACAGTTAGGGCACTGTTTTGCCATGATGTTGTGGAGAAAAGTAGGTGCCATTTAAGCTGTAGAACTGGACTAAAGAATGTTTCTAGCCCCTGTGTGGTCATGGTATACTTGAAAACATGGGCTAAAATCTCACAGGCTAGAAGGAAATAAGTTTGGGGGGGGGGGGGCAGAAAGGCCTGTCCCTGTTTGACCAGCAAAGCCAGCAACAATTATGCAAACATTCCCTTAGGACAAGAATTAGAACAAGAATTCCAGCATTTTAAAGTGGGAAGTGAACTGTACAAATGCCAGAAAACCAGCCGACAAGCAATAGCTGGTGAAGGGGCTGTAGCCAGAGACAAGAGTGTAGCCTTCTGGGGGCTCGAGGATTTGGCCCCAGGCCCTGAGGCTTCCCACCCCTGCACTGAGGTGCAATTCATATTTCTGGGTGCGGATTTGTAATGTTCCTGATGCAGCATATACACAACCCTGGGAATAGGAAATGGTTTAAAGATGGAAGATTTTCAGAAGCCTTTGATACTCTGCATTGGAGGGCGTTTGGATGAGAACAAGCGGACATGCCGCATGGCAGGTGCAACTCAGCATCATCACGGACACTAAAACGTGTGCAGCTCTTGCGGATGCCCAAGCCGCTTGGCTGCTTCAAAACCAGCCCACGCTCTTCCCCTTACCTCTGGTAATCCGAACCGATGAGGCTCGTGCCATTGACGGCGAGAATACGGTCCCCGATGGAGAGTCTCCCGTCGGCTGCTGCAGGGCTGTCCTGGATCAGAGTCCGGATGTAGATCCCAGGAGAATTCAGGGGGGTGTGCTGTGGACGGGGGTGGGCAGGGAAGCAACGTAAGAGTCCGTAGGGATGGACCGTGGGCCTAGCAGGACAAGGACCCTCCAGAGAAGAGGGCTCACGCTTTGAGGCAAGGAAGCCCACAGCAGCAGTAATGCTTCAAAGAGATTGGACTTCAGATGCCACAGTCCCCATCCAACGGAGCCAATGGCCTTGTGAAGGGAAGTCTCCTTAGATGAACAGTGTTGGATTCACTGAGCACCAGTTCTTAAGAATTTCACCAGAGAGACCATTTCGGCAGGCGGAATTTCTCCCGCCGCCTCTGGCCCTGCATAATCTAATCTGTTCCAGAAGGGAGAGGACTGCCTCGGCTTGGCATGAAGGCTGCAGCCTTCCAGATAACATTTCCCTGGCCCTTCTCCCTTGTTTGTGATCGGCGCCAGACTACTGTCACAGCTCTGCCACTCTGTTCCACAGAGCGAGGAGCTGCAGGCGCCTGCGAACCTGCAAAGAGCCCTCCGGCCTTGGACCACAAGCCTTTCCAGTCCAGCGTTCTGGTCTCGCAGTGGCGAACCAGATTCCCCCCAAACCAGGGCTGGGCACCACATAAAGCTGTGCTGGATCAGGCCAAGGGACCATCTAGCCCATCGCCCACGTAGACAGGAGACCATCGATGCCCTCCTGCCCATGTTCCCCAGCAACTGGCATCCACGGGCCTACTGCCTGTGCTACTGGAGGCAGCAGGAATCATTCAGGAAGTGTTGGGAAAAGCAGATGCTTTCCCAAATGTTCCCGTCCTTCCCCACCCCACAGCCTTCACATTCCTAGCCTGACTACAGAGGCGGTGGAACCCAAGTCCCTCTGCTCCCACCTGGCAGGAGCTGTCCAAAGTCTCCAGCGGAGGGACTGCCCGATCTCCGTTCACCTGGAGATGCCCGCGCAAGCTGCAGCTCTGCACCAATCAACTTCTCTGTCACTGAGCTACACCTCCTTTCTTACGCCATGACTTTCCAACCCCTCGCAAGCCCCAGGAACCTGTGGGTACCTGATTTCTAGCAGGTGTAGTAATAACTTGTGGAAACATACATCCTTCTCTGGGGTGCGAAGACACAGATCCAAAGGGAGAGGTGCTTACCAGGCCGTCGATCAATCCCATCCCCAACCCGATGGGCCCTTTCTCCAGCTCCACGACAAAAACGTAGCAGAAATCGTCCGTGGCTGAGCTGCGGCTGGATGACGCAGGCGTGGGGAAGTCACAGGGGGTTGGTGAAGAGCCTGCAGCCCAGAAGAAAAGACGGGCCGGTGAGCCTGGAAGCTTGCAGAAGCGATGCCTTCCAGAGAAGCTGCCATGCTTTCTCCTGCTGCAGGGGTGCAGGATGTCAGGGCCAGAGGCAAATTGGGCCCTGGGGGACGGGGCCCCTGTCCCTAGAGCTGCCCTTTTTCTTCCAGTTGTGACAATTTCCTGGTTTTTATGCAGTTTTCCCCCTACTTTAAGAGGCTCTCCTGGGGCACAGTTACCATCAGTAAATTTTGCGTGACTATATGGTGATATCTGGGGCTGCCGTTTACATCTTTGGCCCCGAGGAACCACAAGGATACAGGTCCTGAGAGCTTAGCTACAATGAAAATTGGCCCGTGGGCCACCGAAGTAGAACAGAAGTCTTGGGGGACCTGAATCAGTCCTCCCTGGGGGGCCCTGGGTAAGGCGCCCTCTGGTAAAACACCTGCTTTCCCCATAGGCCCCGCAGAGCTTACCTGATGGACAAGGCAGGCAACAGCTTGGCTCTGAGCAGCCCTAGAAGCTGAAGGCTGCCATTTAAATTTCCCAGAATGCCCCACAGTGTGGCTACACCAGGAGCATGATGGGGTATTTCAGCAGCAGTGCAGCCCTGCCACCTGGCTGGGACCTGGGCAACCCCACAGCCCTGCCTCCCCACATGAAACTGGGGGAGAAGTCGTGTGCAGTGGAATACACCCCAACTTCCACATGTCTGGAAGCAGCAATACGATCGCCCCGTTATCTGGATCCTATGGAACATTTTGTCAGGTATGCAGATATCCCTCCCTCACAGCGCTTCCACCCAGGCAGGACAGGGTCAATCAGCCAGGCCCGTATTCTTTAAAAAAACATGGTATTTCCACGGGCGGCTTGGAGGGATGTCAGAGGCCACCAAGCAGAACTCCTCGGGGCGAGTCTGGCTTCACGCAGCTCCAGATGAGCTTGGCAGGAGCTCCATCCAGCTGCTTCCCTCCCGTGACTCAGAGATGTGAGCAAACAAAACCGAAAAGCTTTGCATGTCACAGCGGTAGCCTTCAAGCTCGGAGAGCCTTCGGCAACCCACATCACCCGGGTCAGCAGCTAGTCCTTCACCGGGGCTGCATTTCCAACCAAAGAAGGCCTGGCGTGCGGGGAAGGCCGGGTTTCCTTGCAAAGGAAGAGAAACTGCAGAGGGAAGGAACCGGGAACGGGTCCCCCCCCTCGCCCACACACACACACACACACGTGCGCACACACATGCTCTTTGGCCCGCCGTGCAGGCGACTGTTCAAAGACAGCCCCGTTCTTTGCCGAGGGCTGTTCCCCTCGTCACGCACTTCGGCCGCTCAGCGCCACACCCAGACACGACCAGTGGAATGGAGGGTCTTGGGTGGCCCAGCAGACTGCAAAGGGCCAGGGCAGGGGAGAAGATGTCTCTGGATGCTTCCCCGTAGAAAAAAAACTTCGGAGCAGCCAAAACCGCACCGAAAGAACAATGCGCTGCAAGTCGAAAAAACTCCCAGCAGCTGCTGGGACCCTCCTGCCCGCTCCCCGTGAGCTTTCTGCCTGCAAAGTCGCTTTGCGAGGGCTTGGGCTTGTTTCCCATTTATGGAGGACATGCAAAATCACCTACTGGGCCTCACCTCAACATGGGTATTGGAGTCCACACCATCTGCCTGTGTGTGCAGATTCAGCACAAGGGGTCTCTCGCCCCCCCCTTGCGATGTAAATGAGGACTAAGCCTTGATGTGCAGACTCCCCTTTCGGCACCACGATTTGGCCCAGTCCGTGGGCCAGAAGAGGCCTTTGAGACCGTGTGGGACAGGTGTGGATGCCTGGGGCGGGGGAGAGAAAGCTGCTGGGATTGGGCAAAGACCCCAGCTGGCTATCTCTACAGAGCCTTCCCCAACCCGGTGCTCTGCAGAGTTGCAGTCCAGCACCTCCAAAGGGCACCTGGTTGGGCAAGGCAGCCACACGGCGTAAGCCTCACGGCCACAGAGTTTTCCTTTGCTGCAGAAGGCAAGGAGCCATTTAAACCCCCAGCATGCCCTTCCCCGTGATTCCTCAAGCCAAGCGCCTTTCCCCACAGCCAGCCTCGACTGCCAAGTTTTGAAAGGTTTCCCAGATTTCGTGCAGTTCAATCTTCTGCTCTTTTTCCTGCTGCACACGGGCCAAGAACTCCCTGGGATGCAGCGCCATCCTCCCCAGAAAAGCCATTCTTACCATCAGCCGTTGTGGGTTTGGCACCGTTCAGCCCATTCCTCCGCGGGTCTTTCCCGGGGGTGGTCTCCAGGCTCGGTTCGAGGCTCAGGTCGATGGGCATGGGCGTGTTCGGCGGGGTCATCAAGCAGGAGGGGTCCGTCAAGAGCGGCGCCCCCGGCTTGGAGCTGCTCTTCCCTAGGGGCCGCTGGAGAGTCTCTGGGGGCAGCATCTCACAGGGGTCCCGGGTCGATCCATTGGTGCCCAGGGGAGGGGGAAGACCCTCGTCCATCCCTGGCTCAGGACAGCTCACCATCCGCCTGCGGTTTGCCCGGCTGGAAAAGCTCCCAGTGACCAGCTTCTCTGAGGCTACCTGTGGACTGGACTGGCAGCCGAGTGCTTCTGTCTTTGAAGGAGGGTGTAAGGAAAGGCACATTACTGTCCGTCACCTTTCCTTCAGAGGATCACTTGGTCTTTGTCAGCCCTGCGCATCATTTATTTATTTCATTTTTATAGTGCCCAGTAGCCGAGGCTCTCTGGGCAGTTAACAAAAGTGCCCCGCCCCCGGCCGAAAAAGGGGAGGCACTCAAAAAAGTTACCATCAAACCAGAAATAGCAATTGCAACTGAATCCGCTCAGAAGTATAGGAGAGGTGCAGGAGAAAATGCAATTTAAAAAAAAATAAGTTAAAAGGTTAAACTGTTAAAATGCTTGGAGTATGAAAGGTCTTCACCTGTCGCCACAAAGAATACAAAGTAGGTGCCAGATGCACCTCTTTGGGGAGCTCTTTCCACAACCAGGTGCCACCACCGAAAAGGCCTTTTCTGCCCTCCCTGAAAGCCATGTCAGGGAGAAGCTTGCAGGCTCATGCTTTCCAGGAGAGTGAAGAATTGCAACCCAGTCTCCTTGCTCTAAGAGGCACCTGACTCAGCTGCCCCACCTTCCCCTCCTGCTCTGTCTTAGCCTGGTGAAGGAGATTGTTGGAGCCCCTCACTTTCAGGTTAGGGGATTAGCACCACGCTAATCCCTCGCACTGGCTTTCTATCCTCTGCCATAGGAAAGTTCGGCCCGCGAGGCATCTGGACAAAGGCCAGGTGGAGTTGCAGATTAAGATAAGGGAAAGCCAGCACTTCCCTGCACTTCGTGGCTGCAGCAGGGACAAGCGAGCAAGCCAGCATCCCAGGATCACAGAGGGGATGAGCTACGCCCGTGAGTGAAGAAAGGTCCCCCTGCTTTGCGCGGTCATGTGCCACTCCGTAAGCAATGCAGCAACACCTCTGTACAAAGAAGAGCATCCTGAATTCCGCAGCAGGGGTCACTGAAATTCTATGAGAAGAAAGCCAAGTGTGGCGACCTGTATACATGATGCAAAGTTTGCAGGTTTGCACGATCATGTCTTGCTTTCTGCACAATTTATCCAGCTTCTACCATCCCTGGGTAGCCATGCAGAAATCTCCTTGCGGCTTCAGTGATCCCTGCAAACACTCTTCCTTCATGTCCAAGCATAGCTTCACACTCCTAAGGGATAGCAACTTGTATGTGTTTTTTTAAATAAATAACAATGAAAGTTGACATGTACCAGAGATAAAATTGGAGAGGGGGCTCCATTCTGTTGCTTTGCCCTGCTCCCACGGAATCGTGGCACGCACACAGAGGGAGCACGCAGTAAATCTCTGATTGCAACCCACAACCACAACATCATTATTACTTATCCCTTGTATCTGTTGCTTCCCACCCGCAAAAGCAGCCTTAAAGCAACTGAAGCACCCCAAATTCAGCAGTGAAATTCCAGAAACTTGGTCCTACAGGGAAGGCTGGAACGGCGTGGGTACTTTTGGCCTTGAGAAGAGACGGCTGAAGGGGAACGCGACAGCACTTCTTCAAGTTCGTAAAGGTGGCCACACAGAGGACGGCTGCATCTTTGCTCCGTCGTTCCAGATGGCACAACATGAGATAATGGGCTTAAGTTACAGGAAGGCGGAGCTCGGCCGAACCCCAGGAAAAGCTTCCTTGGGAACAGAGCGGTCAAGCAACGGGGCCTGCTGCCGGGAAAGAGGCGAACTCCCCGCTGGTGAGAGAAACTGCACGACCCTCTGCCAAGGGTGGTTTATACTGGATCCCTGTACTGGGCAGGGAACTGGCCTAGAACACGTCCAGCTGTGTGGCCTCCGAGACCCTTACAAGGCACCGCAGGACTCGCCACTTCTTCAGAAATCACGACTAGCTTTCCATTCATTCCCTGGCACATTGTCCAGGAAAGCCAGTGGGACGAACTGGTCTTGGGCGGGGCGGAGCTCAGGCAGTCTGCGTTCTAGTCCCCGCCAGGCCATGAGGCTCACTGGGTGATTTTGGACCAGTTGCGGACTTCCAGCCTAACCTACCTCACAGGGTTGCTGTGAGGATGAAAACGAGAGCAGGTTGGAAAAGCAGCTTGGACAAGGAAAAAGAGGCAGGGTATAAAAGTATTGATAAATACATCAATAACAGCCTTGTGAAACTTTACTTTTAAGCTTATGGAGCCCTTCAAAGCCCTTCCACTCACGACATGCACATGGTGGGCATGTCGTGAGCGAAGCCGGCTGGTGCCGGAGGTCAGACTAGATGGCCTGGGTGGTCCCTCCTGGCTCACTCTGTTTCTGTGTTTCTAAAGCTTGGGACCCGCATACCTCAAGAACTGCTTGTTCCTATATGAACCTGTATGGTCCCAGCTGCAGGGCCTCCTCTGTGGTGGCACCCCAGTTGTGCATTTCCCCAAAGATGCGTGGCTAGCTCCTCCTCTGTCACACGACAGGCTCCTGCCAAGAACAGCAGTGTTTGCGCCTGTTTTCCCAGATTGTCAAGCCCCTTTATGGAGTTTTGTTGCTCTGTGCGTTCACTGTTTGCCCCCACGGAATTTGGGGCTAGTCTGGCTATTTTGCACTGCACTCTCTTGCTGGCCGTTTGGATAAAGTGTTCTATGCGGCTTCCATTTTAATTTGGCCATCGCCTCGGCAGTTTTTTCAAAAGATCGAGTAGCTTGTCCTGCCCTTTCAGCTTCGCCAGCAACACAGTGTGGCAGGGCTCAGAAAAAGAAAAGTGTGTCTCCATCGGGAGCATCCGTGCTAAGGAGACTGGGCTATATCAAGCGGCAGGCAGCACTTCCGTCCGGTTGGGAAAGCGAAGAATCCTCTTCCCAAAGCCTGCCAGGCCAGAGCTGTTCCTAAAAGTTATTTGCATGAAAAGGGCTTGGCTGGCCCATCTGCGTATGTAGTTCTCTTACACACTGACCCCCAGAATGGATGGCTGCCTGCCAGGGCCCACAAACCAGCACGGGCCCATTCGCAAGGGAGGCGCCCCATCGGCCAAGCAACTACGGGCTGCACTGATGAGAGAGAAGGCGAGGAGCCAAGGCGGCTGGTGGGGGGATCGGAGGCTCGCTCGGGGCCTCTCGCCCAAGAGATCAGAGACGCTTTCTTTGGCTAAAGCGTGGGGCGAATGCTTTCAACAAACCGAGCTGGCAGAGGCAGAACCGCCAGCCAGCAACATGCCTTACCTTTGGCGATTCGGTGTCAGGCGAGTCGCTGAGGTGGGGACTTTTGCTGCGCAGGCTCCACAAGAAATGCCGGATGTAAAGGAGGTGCCGATAGATATTGTCATCCAGGTGCTCCACCTCCAGGTCCACCTTGAACCCTCCGCTGGGCAGCATGATGGGAGGGTGGTTGTCGAAGGACTCCAGAACGTCATCTGCGGGACAGAGAACTCTGGGTCAGCCTTTGGTCAGTCCCGGACTCCATCCAGACAAGGGGCCGGGGCGTTTGCTCTGGGACGGCTCCTGCATCAGAGCGCCGAGAAGCTACAGAATTCATGGCAAGAACCAGGGGGGTCGACACTGCTGGCGGGGAAGGCAATCCACCCCTCTGGCATGCCAAAGCGCATGGGGAGCGTTTTAGCAAAAGAAGCCCTTGCATCCTTCCAGGAAATCCAACCACGTGCTCTTTCTTCGAGGTCTGCAGCCTCTTTGATCATCTGGAAGAGGCGTTCATAGAAAGCCAGATTGTTAGGAATACACCGGCAGACCAAGCAGTCACCGAAATACAGGAGGTCCTCGATGGGCAGGAGTTTTTCCACCTCTCCTGGAGATCCTGGGCATCGGACCTTGGGCCTGCAACAAGCTGAGCAGGGCCTCCGCCACGGAGTCACAGCGAGTCGCACGCTCTGTGCCTTTTCAGGGCACCCCCCCCCCCCCGAGCAGCCTTCCCTTCTCGCTCTCCCGCAGGAGAACCAGGCCTGACTCTCGCTTGGCGCTGTGTTTTCTCCTCTGGACACTGGTTTAGGGATTGGACTCAAAATCGTTCTTAGGAAATGATTCCTCGGGGAAGATGCTTTTTCCATAACAGAGATATTTTGGCAACCTCCCATGTGCACCCTTTCTAGTGTCTAAAAGCTCCGTGGAGAAAAGTCGGCATTCATGCTTGGAATTGCTGAAAACACAAGACTGCGGTTTTAATGGCTCCCCTTGGGTGGAATTTGTGCAGAATTTCAAATGTCACATGCTGCTAGTTACCCTCCTGTGTGCCTCAAATGCTTTTCGTAATCACCGTGTGTGTGGCAGGGTGGATTGGGGTGGGGGGAATAATCTCGTGGATTGACCAGTGAGATCCCAGAAAGACCATCCAGCCGTTGTGCTACGGAAATATAGCTTTGCCTGCAAGATGCAAAAGTAGAAGTGGCGCTTGCAACGGAACAGTGCTGGATGGTGTATGCCTGTGAAGGCTTCCAGCCAGCCAGCAGACCGTGCCCATTTCCAGGATATGCCATTCCATTCCCATCACTTCAGCAGGCTGCAGCCTCGCTCCGTCCTCGTCGGTCTGGTTATGGGCGCATGGTATTGTTAGTCGCAAAGTCGTGCCCAACCCATCACGACCCCATGGACAACATTCCTCCAGGCTCTCCTGTCCTCCACTATAAAAATTTGACCACGTCTAGCTTACCTTGATTCATAGATCTTACATTCCAGCTTCCTATGCTGTATTGTTCTTTACAGCATCAGAGTTTCCTTTCACCACCAGATACATCCGCAACTGAGTGTCCTTTCAGCTTTGACTCAGTCGCTTCATTCTTTCTGGCACTACTAGTACTAGCCCTCTGCTCTTCCCCAGTAGCATATTGGACACCTTCCGGCCGGAGAGGCTCATCTTCCGGCATCATATCTCTTTGCCTTTTGGTACTGTCCATGGGGTTTTCATGGCAAGGATACTGGAGTGGGCTGCCATTTCCTTCTCCAGTGGATCGCCTTTTGTCAGAGCTCTCTGCTATGGCCTGTCCGTCTTGGGTGCCCCTGCACGGCATAGCTCATAGCTTCATTGAGCTACGCAAGCCTCTTCGCCACAACAAGGCAGTGATCCGTGAAGGGGTTTGGGGACATGACCCCTCCCTAAACTGTAGGCTCCTTGTAATTCTGCCAGCTGCGGGGTTCCTCTCCTGGTCCCCCTCTCCAGTGTGGGTAGTGCAATTGAGGCTATATAAGAATTCACACCTGGGGAATGAGTTCGCAAAGAGTATATCGGACTCAATATATTTCCAATCAGTCCCGTTGTTCAGTATTGGCATCTGCACAGCTCCAGGTCAAACGTGGCTCTTCGCCCAGCCTGAAACAAGATACCACCTGAAGACTTCCAAGAGCCCAAGTAGAAATGACGGTGATCCGATACCCCTCTTTTTAAAAAATCTAATTAGCATCGCAAGGAAGCCTGAATCCTTTTCTCTCCATCTTAATTAGGGCCCCATATAATTGGGCGGGGCAGACTTGAGAACTTTTGGATCTCCTCCTCTTCTTTTAATTAGCGCTCCAAAATCAAAGCAAGGTGCAAAAGACACGCCCTGAATCAGAACCATGGCTGATCCTGAGCCTAGGAATTTGTTTCCAGCCCTGGAACTGACCTGACCTGATCTGACCTCACAGTCCTTTCCCACAAACAGATGATTCCTGGTTACCCCCAAGCTCTCCATTCCTCACAGCCTAAATTTGGTGGGGAAAAGAGGTTCCATTGCTGCTACTAGCCAATAGCCAGGAGTCATGAATCCTTGCCAGTCTCGTTGCAATGACCCCAGAAAGTGGCCAGTCGTAAACCAAGCCCAACTTACTTTTAACAATCACTGTGTGTTTTACCCCGCAGTGGATGGGGCTGTATCAGGTTAACAGCAGAGAGAACACCCCCATCCCTCTTGGTCTGCTTCCGAGGGCCACTCCACCCCACTTCCCCAGAGTCATGGCTGCACCCACCATTCGGCCCACAGATCTCCTGCCATCTCGACTGGCGGTGAGCAGAAAGTTGATCTCCGGATGTTTTGGGCACCCACTCTCAGCATTTCTGGCCACTGGCCATGTCAGCCGGAGCTTCCGGCAGCCGGAACATCTTGGAACTCCATTTCTGCCCTCCCCCAGTTTCGGCGCCCCTTTCTTGGCAACCAGCAGAGCAATGGCCTCCATCAGCGGTTTGCAGCACACACTGCAAACACCTGCATTTTCTGGACGGTAGGTGAAGGCACAGGTGTGCTTTCCTGCCCAGGGTCCCTCAGTGGTCTGTCTGGCTGGGGGAGGGGAAAGGAAAGGAAGCACAGCGGAAATTCTCGCAAGAGTCTTGGCATGACCCACCCCAGGGCAACGCAGCCACGCCGCCGTCTCCTGCCTTACCTGTCCTCAACGCAGCGAGGCTTTCCTCTTTGCTGGGCTGCCACACAGGTATACAACCCACGTCAGGTGAGGTCTGGTACTGGCTTAGGATGTGATGCAGCTGGGCGGCCGTCAGGGCTGGGAATTCTGTTCGCAGCATGGACCACGTCATCTGAGCAAACCAAGAAAGGCATGGGTGAAGCGATGTTTCGGATCAACTCCGGGGTTTGGACAAATTAGGGCTCTGCACTTGCAAAAAAACAGATTTTGGCCATTGGACTGATCAGGGGAGTGCTCGGTTGCACTTTGGGAGTTCCAGAAAAACCTGAGCTCAAAGGGGAGTGTGGGCTGGGATCGGTGCTCCTGGGTCAAGGAAGCATCAGGACCATATGGAGCTTCAGTCTTCCTATTGCATTCTGGGACAACACAGAGGATGCCAACTCAAAGCCTTCCCACAAGGCCTGAGACGGAGAGAAGGACTGCTGGGCACACAGAGCAGGTTCACACCACCATGTTGACGCCACACGCCCCTGCCTTGGAATATTCAAGGCAGGCCGATGCCTTACCAGGCCACAGAAATGGTCCCCCCACTCCTTTCACCCTGAAACATTTGGTCACGCGGTTCGACCCACAGATGCCCCATGTGGCCTGCATGATGTGTACCCAAGGCTCATCTGTGGCCACAGCGGTGCAGCCCACGAGAAGGTGCTCCCACATGGAAAGCTCCTCCTCTCCCCCTGCTCTTGCTCATGGACCAGTCGAACGGAGCCGCCATCTTGGAGCGAGAAGCCCTTTCCTGCCGCACACGGGCAGCCCTCCTCACCTGCACCAGCTGGGAATTCGGCATGGCCAGCAGGCTTGCCACGCTGGAGAGCTTGCCGAAGAACTGGTCCGCCAGCTTCCCAAAGCCCGCGTTCTGGGCCCACTCCAGGAGGAGCCGCAGCGTGGCTCTCACCTGCACTCCCCTCGACCAGTGGAAGCAGCCCAGAGAGGACCCTGGGAGGAGAGGGAGGCACAGAGGGGTCAGCACCTGCCTTTCACGGCATCCGGAGGGGGAGAGCGCCTTGCCACCGTGTGCAGAGGGCAAGAAGCGTGAGACGCACGCTGGCCTCCGACAGCACGCGAAGCCTTCAGAGATGGCTCCCGAGGCCAGTTTCCAGCCCAGATCCCCACTTCCTCCAGCAGAAAACGTTGCCCAAAGGCCAGGAAGGCCCCCCAACCAAGGGCGATGGGGAAACAGGGCTGGGAAGGAAGGAACCAGAGAGGGACACCATGCCGGCCAACTCACCCTTCTCCATGAGCTGGTTGAAGAGAAGCGTGTTGGAGAAGAAGAACAAGTAGGCGAACATCTGGGAGGCGATTTCGAGGTGCACCTCGTACTGACGGAGGAGGTCCAGGGTGGCCTGGTAGATGAGCACCACTCTGCGGATTTCCTCAGGCAGTGGGGGAGATGTGAGCCACCCGTCGCGCCCCTCGCTTTGGAAGGGGTTGCACTCCAGGAGTGGAGGCAAAGACATGTACAGAGACTGGGAGGAAGACGGGAAGCCCAGCGTCAGTTATCCCCAAACGTGTGTGCATCCTGTCCTTCCTCCAAGGAGCTCTGAGGGGTTTTCAGGGGCCATACCCTGTTTTTATCTTCACAACAACCCTGTGGGGGAGTTTAGATGCAGGGCAAAGCACCTCGCTCAAGGTTGCTCCATCAGCTTCCTGCCTGAGTGGGAACTTGAACCTGGGCCCACCCCCAAAATCTTAGCCCCATGCCAAGATCAACAGCACCAGTGAAGTGTTGGGGCTACAGTTTGATTAAAAAGGGGGTGCTGCAAAACTGGACTTTTGTCTGTGAATCCTGGAGCAAGAAAAGGCCAGAAACGCCTCATTGCAGAAATCTCCAGCTTGGATGTGCACAGGCACTTCCTGATGAAATTCCAGGAGTCCAGGCGAAGAGACAGAGGAAGGGGAAGACTGGACATAATTCACAAGCATTCCTGACCCGATGCTCTACAGATGTATCCAAGTACAACTCCCATAATCCCCAGCAAGTGGGAATCCATTGCTGGGAAGAAGTCCTTCCTGTAATCGGACCAGAATGTCCCACCCATCAGCTTCATGGGATGACCTCAGGGAGCCCTCAGATTTTGCGAGGCGACAGAAAATGCCCATTTTTCCACACCATGCCTGTTTCGGTGTACCTCTATCCCATCTCCCTCCAATTGCCTTCGACCTAAGCTAAGTGGTCCCAGGTGTTGTCATCTTTCATCCAGCCCCACAATCATTTTGGTCGCTCTCTCCTGCACCTTTGCAGCTGGACAGTTCTCCTCTGCCAGATGCGGTGAGCAGAACTCTTCCATGAGTGCCCCTGAAGGGTGAAAGCTTGTGCGAGCCAAGAGGAAGGCTGGGCTCCACTTGAACAAAATGATGGAAAGTCTCAAGGTGGGAGAATGGACCATACCACTTGAGGGGGAATACCATTTCTTACATTTCCCCCCAGGTTAAAAACACCTGTACTAGCACGATCGGTTCATAAGCTATACAGAAACACAGTTTTTTGCTGTTGGGAATCGAGGGTCACTTTACAAGGGGAGGGAATCCCCCCAACAGTGGAGTCAAATGGTACTGCCCATGGTGCACCTCTGGAACTCATTATGACTGTTGTTGTTCTTCATTTCTATATTGCCCATTGGCAATGCTCTCTGGGCGGTTCCCAAGATTAAGTCACCCATCCAGACTGTGACCAGGCCTGACCCTGCTTAGCTTCCAGGATCGGGCGACTTCACCCTTCCACACGCCTAGACCAGGTCTTGGAAGAACAGGCTGGACTGTGGGAAGCAGCTTCTGCAGAGAGGGGAGGCAGGGGCTGGGAGGAGGGGAGCAACCAGAAACAGCTGGACGAAGGGGGAGAAAAAACCTGGGCAGCTTCCCGAATTCCTCCACGTGGCGGAGCTGGCAATGGCTCTGGGCAAGAGACAGAGTCACTTGGCCAGTTTTAGTTCTCCCTCCGGTGGAAAGTCGTCCCCACCCTTCATACACAAGCCCTCTTTCTTTCCACTCGCACACTGCACGCTCTGTCTGGCGTTGCCAAGAGGGTGGCGGGAGGCTCCGCGGGCTTCGGAGGGGGCACAAGAAAGAATGGCTACCAGCGGGACCCCCGTGGTCCAGTAGGCCAGCCAGGTGGCCCTTTGTTCAAATTTGAAGGGCGGCCAGAGCATTGCCCTGTTTCCAGGGCATTCCTGCCCAATTCCAGCTCAGAGAAGACAAACCCGAAGCCTCTCCAACCATCCCCACTTAGCACCTGGAGCGTAAGATGTGCAGACAGTCCGCACAGTATAGCAAAAGACACTGTAAATTTAACTTTCTCCCTGCTATAATTTAAATCATAATACATTGCCAGTTATATGTATAAATCAGCATATGCAAACACGGTGCAAATCAGCAATCTCTGTGGTGGTAATTCATAAGTGGCCGCCCAAATTACAAAGGAGCTTTTCTAAAGGAAGCGTGCGATCCAAATTTCGTCAAGGAGAATGGCGACTGATGCCATCATATTTATTAAGTAATTAATAATCAAATATTAAATAACTTTCTTTAATGTATTGGAAATTTTTTTAGTCAGGATACAGAATTCTGTCCAGGCAGCACACAAGATTAAAAAGCACTGAGGGGGAAGCAAATTTGGAAGGGACGAAAGGATTATGCCATATTTTCGCACTCTGCTCTTGGTAGAATCCCGGAGAAGAGCAGCCAGTTTTGAGGAGTCCAGGCAAGGGCAAAGGGTTAAATCCCTGATCTCTTGCACTGCATCCCCAACCCAGATCTTCCCCCTGCCAAACATCCCCCCCACAACACACACAAACTTTTAAAGAAAGGTTCCTGATCCCAGGAATTCGCATGTAACATCTGCTTTGGCCCAGAGAAGGGGAAGGTATGAGAGAAGTATTCATTTAAAGTATTTTTATCTGACTCCTCCGCCAAAATAAGCAAACACAAAAGACTCCAGGAGAAGCTTGAATGCAGCCAGTGAAACAAACCGCCCATGCCCAAAGGCGTTCAAGTCTAAAATGGCACAACACCCAAGGAAGATGTGCTGAGGAGGGAAGAGGGGGGAAAAGACTCTCAACGGGAGTCGTGGAATGGAGAAGGGCACTTGATTTCGGGGTGGGGGAAACAGAGGCAGAAAGACTCAAGGGAGAAGCCCCGGGGGCCAAAAGCCAACTCATTCAGGGGGACCAGATGCCCCTGGACCGGTATTTCGGCAAGTGTTCGCAGACAACAGAGATTCAGGGCCTCCAATGAAAGATGAGGGGCTCTAGCCTTCAGCATTCTTCCTCTAAGAACACAGTAACTTCAGATACTGCTTTACATGATTCAGAGGCACGAGAAACCCATCAGCTTCCAAAGGGACACAGAAACTCTTGCACGGTCTGGGAAGATGCAAAGAAAAAGGAAACAAAAGCGACACTGTTTGCATAGGCAAACCACGGCCATCCATTTTCTCGTCCCTTGCCTCGGTCTCCTGCTAACTTCTCCAGTCCAGCTGAAACCTCTGTTGTTCAGAAAATATGACCTAGAAGCCAGTTTGCCACATCCCGGAAAACGTCTGCAGATTGTAAGGCGTTTCTCCCTTTCCCTCTCCGTCTCGCTCAAAGGATCACTGCGTGCGATCACCGTGCGAGGCTGGCTACACCTGCGGTGCGACGCGGCGCAAGATGCAGGCAGCTGCAGAGGCAGCGACTGCCGCAAAGAATCGCCTCTCCCGCACACCAGCTGTGCGGACGAGCTCACACACATCCATTTCTCTTCCCCACCTTTCCTCGGGGCCGGGCAGCGCATTTCGCGTAAGATGAGCCAAAAGAATTCTACACTGCACCGCTTCAGACAGAAATCGTAATTCTAAACCCTGCTTAACATGCTCCAGTGTACTGCGTGCAGCAACTGCAGATAGAACTGCAACTCCCCAACTCCAGTCTACTAAAAAAGGGTCGCTGAAAAGTCAAGGGTGAAATGGTTACACGCATGCAGAAGACGGGTCCGGTGGCGTGGTGCATGCCTCTGCAGCCCACAGGTGAGGACTGCCATTTTCTAAAGTTCTCCTACACAAAGAAAACCACAATCCTGCAAGTAGAAAGCTAGCATGGCAGGGAGAAACCCTTCTCCCTGAAGGGCTTGTTTTCCACCTGCAGTGCGGTGTTGTTGTTTTGCTTGGAAGAATGCATTCAAGCAGGTAACCCTCACCTGCAGCCTACTAGGGAGGTGGGAATTGGGCAGTCTCTTGGCCTTGAGAAATGGCCAACTGCCTCATCGTCTGGAACCGGCCCAGGTGGGTGTACCTTGGAGATGTAGTAGACACACTGCTGGAAGGTATACATGATGACTTCCTCTAGAACCGTCATGGCTTCCTCGCTGGCGGTGATGGTCAGGGAAAAGAGAGATTCCTTGGAGCCTAAAAGGAGTGGGGAAAGCATTAGGCCGGAGCCCCAGCCTTGCAGCTCAAGCTGAACCTGTCTAGAGAAAGATACCTCGTGCTCCAAGAGCTGGGGTGCAACCCTTCACGTGTTTAAAGAGAAAAAGTCCTTCCAGCAGGCCCCAGCCTGTGTGGCGTTGACTCACCTGCCTCTACTTTCACAGCTTCATCACAGTCTTGAGATGGAGCTGTGCGTGAAGTACTCATGCTTTCCTGCTATAATAACCTCTATGTGGCACTCTGGAAAAGCATCACAGTGCAATTCCACAAGTGGGAAAATACGGCTTGCTTTTGGTTTTACGAATAATGCTGCATTTGCTTCCCTCTAAAATAACTTGCAGAAAGTGCTGTTTAAAACAGAGGAAAAGGTGGAGGGTGACATAACCCAGAAACAACTGTGAGTTGGGATGACGGGCACACAGTAAGCACCTTGCGTTCAAAAGCTCAGAGTCAGTTTGCAATAGGCAATTGCCTGGGGTAGATATTATTAGCTAATTTAGGTTTTTTTTAAGGTTGGCATCTTTGCTTTGCTCAAAATGGAGGGCAGAGTTTTAAAATGGCAATCAAGCATCAAGCATGTTTCTCTTCAGGGATAAAAATTCCAGATGTTCAAAATGTTCCCAGCTAAAGGTCAGGATGTGTTTGAAGGGTGGAGTCCTCATAAGAGGTACTTGGAGTGACCAAATATGAATCAAATACAAGATGTGGTTACGGATGGACAAAGCCAAGATGAAGCTAATGTCAGGTCTAACAAATCTTTGAACTTGGGCTTTTAGTAACCTATGCCGTTTCTGAGAAAAAGGCAAAATTTGGGTTAATTTTAGTCAAACTAACATTGCAACATTCTAATTTGTCAGCTTATCCTAGTCTACCCGTGTCCCTGACATGTTAGTTTTCTATATGCAGGGAAATTTTGAGTCCGGCAACCCCCGGGCGGCAGTGTTGAGTGGTACAGCCTGGACAGATGTCTAACAGCATCTGCTTCTTCAGCAATGACCATGAGCATAATACATATGAGAGGTTAAAGAACAAGGCTGTCCTTGCCTGCAGCTTCCCAGCAAAATAGATGTGATATGAAAGGAAAAAGGAAGAGGAAGGAAGAGGAAAGTAGGCAAATTTAGGTACTGATTCTTGAGGTTGCATTTTCTTAGCTGTATGATAAGATCTGGGCGGGTGCACGAACCTCCCTGTCTGCAAGTACAGCCCCTTGGGCTGTGGCAAACGATGACTTCCAGGAAAGAACCTCACTTTTCTGGAATCCATCAGCCCATTTTTCCACCGGCTTCATCCGCGCCCCTCATTTTGCCAAGTCAGCCATCCAGGATGAGAGCGACAGCGAGAGGGAACAGGCGGGTGCTGATCAGAAACCTAGCAGGGTAGGAATTTTCCTGCTGTCCCCAACCCGTTTCGACCTTCCCACTGGGCTATCAGCATGAGAACGGAGATAGGAAGGAATGTGGCATTCAGCCAGGACTTGGCTCGGTTGCTCCCTCTATTTTCGGGGAGGGAAAGAGGATGAAAAGGCTGCCTGAGCAAGGCTTCACCCGCTGGGGTCACGCTCCGTCCCTCGTGCCCGAAGCGGCTGCTATTCTTCCCCCTCGCTCTGCACGGCCACCGGGAGACAACACCTGTTTCTGGGATGGGGCTAAGCTGTGCAGAACGACCCTGGTGATTGGAAGCCCTGGTGCTTTGCTCCTGCAAGACTGCACCACACCGCTGGTCTTATCCAGCCGACGAAACCTTCAGGGAAGCCGTCGGCCCCCTGAGCACGGAGCGGTTCAAATCCCCCGCCAAACCCATGGATGTTCCAGGTGTGGCAAGTGCACAGGCCTTACCTCGGATATCAAGCTCCTCTTCCATGTTCTGGATGTAAACTGGGGATTTCTGCTGGACAAAGTACAGGATTTCGATGGCGTTGGACATCCAGAAGATAATGTGCTGGAGGTCGGGCAGGAGGTCTGCGATGGTGAAGCGGGAGAGGGATACTGGGTCCTGGCTGATGAGACGAGCGAGGAGTTAAAGGTCATCCTGGCGGAGGCGCCGATGCTTGCATCCTCTCCCCGAGCCCCCCGCCCTGCGGGATTCCAGCCTCCATGTGGGATCTCTGCCTGCATGGCAGCAAAAGATAGCCTCTTTGGGAATATTTTGATCAGAGCGCTAATGCATATTCTGTCTGAGGTTCACGTACAAAGGACTGGTCTATTTATGTGAGCCTTCCCTTCCTCCCCCTCCCCTCCCTTCCCTCTCTCTCTCTCTCTCTCGCACACACATACTGGGTTCAGACAACACAACCAAGGTTGTGCACGGGTTGTCAATGAACTGTGGATTGTTGTTGAATCATGGGTTACCGTATTACTCTGAATCCAGCCATGCTAACAAACCATGGCTTGTTAACTACAAGTAACCTATGAAGGGACCCATGGATTGTCCATAGGTTGTGAATCATAGGTCACTAACCATGGTTTGTTATCTCAGGTGGGTTCAGGTAACACAATAGCTCAGTGATATAGCACACTCAAGGATTGAGTGTGAATTATTCGTAGTCTGAGCCCAGTCAGTTTCTCTCTCACACACACACACACACGGGCACTGCCCCTTCTCAAATCCAGATATACTGAGATTTGCAATGAGAACTTTCTATCAGAATCTAACTGTGGCATCCTTCTCCACTCCCACTTTTCATTTTTACTCTAGGGGAAGCACTACCCTCCCCCCAAACTGAGATCCTAGCAAGGTGGTAGGGAAGCCTGATAAAATCTGGATCATAACTTCCTAAAAAATAAAATAGAATTGTTTGTTTATTTCACTGTATTTTTACGTTGTCTGATAGCCAAAGCTCTCCAGGCCACTCACAAAAATTAAAATCCCTAAAAAGATCCATCAGTGCAGTCACAGACTTAGAAACAAAACCAAAGGACTTGCATGACTGGAAAAGGTTTAAAAAGGGGGGAGTTCCTTTGCAAAAAGAGCATGATGCAGGCACAGGGAAACTCCTCTGTCATTCTTTTGAGGAGCCACCACCACCAAGGCCTGCCTCATCTCCTTCACTGGGGGCACCCGAGGAGGCTGAAGGGGCCACTGTGAAAGATGAGGGGGCAGGCCGCACCCCTGTGCGATCCTGTGCCCGAAGCAACTTCTGCTCACCCAGGAAAGGAGCAGAGTGCAAGGGAAGGACCGGAGGCGCTTCAGCTCAGCATCACCCGATCCCAAGAGTCCTGGGGTCGCACAGGCACGCAGACACACGGATCGTGTCTCACTCAGCCCCCGTCTGCAATTTCGGCGCTGTGGACAAGGCCCGTTTTCATTCCCTCTCTGCAGCGTCATCTTCATGCAAGGCTTAAGCTTGGAATTTTGGTCTCTCACGTGCCAAATTCTTGGGACTTCTGATTTGTTTTGTCTAAAGTGACCACCCAAGCTGTCTCATTCCATCCACTGGGCCTCTATCGTTGAACATGTTTTCATTACTCTTTTTGCCTGTTTTTGAGCCAGGCCCAAGAAACATCTCTGCTAGCAGGCCCAGGTCAGCTTTTTCCCTGAGACGCCAGACAGCTGCTGCCAGTCAAAGCCAACTGCACTGGCCCAGATGCTCCAAGGCCCAGGGACTGTCAAGCGGAAGGGAAGCAAATGCCAGTGCCATCAGGCCCGGAGTCACTGAGAAGCTGCCTTCGTTGAAAAGCACTGTGGCAAAAGGAAGGTACAAGAACAGAAGAGAACATCTCTTCGGATAAGTCCCAGAGGCCATTCAGTCCAGCCTTCAGTGGTCCTCAGGAAACCCACAAGCAGGAGAGGAGTGCAACATCAGTCTCCTACCCATGTTCCCCAGCAGCCGGCTTTCTGCTTCAGACGCTGGAGGAAGCATGGAGCCATCAGGCCCAGCAGCCAAGCTCGCCTTCTCCTCCGGGAATTTGTCCAAGCCCCCTTTAAAGCCATCCAAGTTGGTGGCACCACGACCTCCGGTGGAAGTGAATCCTGCAGGTCAACCCTGCACCATGTGGAAGCAGTTTCCTTCAAGCTGTCCTGCATCTCCCATCCGCTTTGTGCGGTGGCTGCACTGGGTTCCAGTACTGAGGGAGGGGAGAGGAAGACCTGCTTCTCCGCTTCCTCCACGCCTGACTGATTTTTTCTTTCTGCCGAGCAAACCCAAATCTCCTCAGAGCCGAGTTGCTCCAGACTCTTGATCACACGACTTGCTCTTTTCAGGGTTCCTCCAGCGCTTGCCGGCACCATGGCCAGAACTGCGCACTGGGTTCCAAGCGGGGCAGCACCCGAGGTTTGCATAAGCACGCTGCGGTCGATGCAACCCATCCATCGGGCAGGGAAGGAGCAGCTGAAGGGAACCTGCCTCCCACCGACCTTCCAGAAGCAACGCTCGGCTCCAGCTGCCAGTTGCCCAAGGAGGGCTGAGCTGAAGGGAGGAGGCAAGGTCCTCACCCCTTGCCCAGGGGTCCAGAAGCCACAACCGCTCCCTGCAAAAGAGCATCACGGCCAGGCGGAACCAGCGTGGCCTCATCCGTCGGCCGCAGGGAGCCAGCTGCCCTGCTCCCCACCAGAAAGAATTCCCTGCTCCGATTGCCAGCCGCAGATCCAAACGGAAAACATCTGTCATCCTCCATCGGCCACAGGACGGAGGGCCTCTGGGTTGTGTGCAGGCAAGAACAGCGGCCTTCCCCTGAGGACGGGAGGATCCACAGCTCCCTGGAGGAACACATGCCATGCATCCAGAAAGCCTGCAAAGGATCTCCCAGAAACCTGGACGCTGGATCCCCTTTTGACAAGAGAATGCTTTGCACTGGAGAAAGGCCTCTGTTCTCACCCCTGCTCCTCACCAGCCCTGCTCCACACAAGACGCAGCCACAGAATCGCTGGCCAAGAGCTGCCCAGCGCTGCTCGAACACCTCCAGTCAGGAAGCATCAACCATCTGCCAGGGCAGCCTGCTTGCCCACCCAAAGGCCTTCACTGGAAGGACTTTCCCCTGACCTTTGGCCGGGCTTTGCCACATCTCCCCCAGGTTCTGGAGGGAAAGAGAGCCCCTGTGCAGGGCAGCCTTGCCGATACACAGGCTGTAGACCAACGCAGCTGGAGGGCGGCAGGTTGGAGAAGATGCCTCGAACCCTGAAGAAGCCTGACTCACCCTATTCCTTGTCCTCTAAGAAATCTCCGTGCTCATGTGCCCTCTTCTCGCCCCCGAGCCGACAGCACACAACCCATCCTCTCATCTGATGACTTCCGGCTGGAAGCTTGCTCAAATGAATAAAGAAAATCTTCTGGACACATTCCTCTGTTCCAGCGGCGTTTGCCAAACCCACACGCCCCAGCGCCACTCTCCACGTCTGTCTCTTCTCCCCGAAGCTAAGACGGTTCCAATTATCTCAAGGCGGCAAGGAAAAGAATGTGGTTGCTGCTCCTCCTTGTACTGCAAGATGGCTTTGGGAACGGCCTGCCTTAATCCAATTCTCTCTGTCTTGCACAAGAGACCTTTCAACCCACCATGGATTTCTGGACGCCACCCTCAGATGCTTAGCGGGGTGGGGGAACAGCGAAAAGCAAAGATAATCCCATTGCTGACCCTGTGCGCACAACCGGACGCAAGAAGGCTGCAAGGCAGATGAGGCGAAGCACACCGACACGGCTGTCAATGGGAAAGAGACACATTTCTCTTCCATGCTTCACCCTTCAGAAGCGCGGCCATCGGTGCCCATAGCTAAGCAGGACAAAACAAAAACTCAGGCAAAATTCTGTCCTCTGCAGCATTCTGCAATCCATGTTCATTATGCAAATGAAGGACATTTGCACACAGTAGCCCGAGTGGGTGCCTGGCTTTCCACCAGGCGCCTCGGGCAGGAGGAAGGCAGCAGAAGCTTTGAGCCATGCAAACTTTGACCTCTTCCAGGATCTCACCTGCATCCTGTGGTTGATTTTGTCACCTGCCCCTGGCTCTTTGGGTCAGGCTCAGAACTTGCTAAGGCCACTTGCAAAGGGAGCCAGAACCCAGCCTGCCTCCATCAGGGCCTCTTTGGCCTGCTTCATTTCTCATATTTCTGCTACTCAGAAGTGGAGGAAAAGGGATGCTGCAAAGCTGCCTTCATGATATCCAGAAAGCGTATCTCAGGCACAAATACACACTCTCCCCAACCACAGCAGAATCTGGCCCTGACTGCAACGTAAGATACATATTGGGTTCCCCTGAGATGCCATGTGGATGCATCTCTTGCCACACTGCTCAAGTGCTTTGCTGAATCAATTCAAGGTCCATTTTGCATGGCATTCACATAGCACGTTACCTCTGGAAAATTAAGGCACAAACACCACAATCATTCCCTGCCATTTATCCCCACAATCTGACACTCAGAGCTTCTCTACTTCTGTCCTGCTCTGTGCTGATGACATTGGATGAAAGGACAAAAACAGGACCTTGGATAGCTCCCCATGGGCCCGGCTGGCTGGAACTCTCTCCTGCTAGACAAATAGGAGGATGTTGTCTCAGCAGGAAGCTAAAGCCAACTAACATGGGGGCTTCTAAGACCTGTGATGCGCTCATCTCCACCTCCCCTGGAGCCTCTGAGCCAGCAGACCATGGCTCCATTTCCAACAGAATCTTCTGCACACTAGAAGGCCCAGAGGCGGCACGACACCCTCTGACTGAACCTGGAGGCCACCTACTGTTGCCGTAATTTTTTTTAATGCTTTTACTTCTTTATTTTTTTAAAGAAGTGAAAAGGGAATACAAAAGATGATCAGCTTAGCTGCACCACACCAAGGAAACAGAGGGGCAGCTAGCACTACCTTTCCGTACCATTCGGCAGCTGGCTTAACTGAGAGGTGTGCTTGTTTCTTCATTCATTCATTATTTAATTAATTGGATTCGTATCCCACCTTCTTCCTACAAAGAGCACCAGGCTCTTCTCCTCCTGATCACCATTTCATCCACACAACAGCCGTGTGAGGCAGACTGGGCTGAAAGTCGACAGCTGGCCCAGAATTGCTCAGCTGAGCTTCATGGCCAAATGGGGACTACAACCCAAACCTCCCATGTCTAACTGACTCCTCGGCTTGCAAGCAAATCATTCTAATGATCAAAAAGCTGCCCACCACTCCCCACATGACCTGAGCTGTGCAATAATCCATTATCAGTTTACCCAGAAGGATACAAGAAGCAGGCATAATTTGGTTATTGTTGCATTGCAAACGTGAATATCACTGGTCCTAGAAAAAATGCATTCACACATCTACCTGAGCAACTAAATGAAGCATTGCCAACACTCCTTTTCCCTCTTCCCTTCCAATCCTTTTCCTCGTGTCTGATTTTTTTTTACAAAATCCCAGCGCCTTTTGACTGACAAGCAGGGTAAAAACACTTTAACATAATCAATATAGTTATCTTGATTCTCCTCTTTTCTTTTGAGCCACTCAGGTTTAAAATTGTGTTGGTGCTTTTTAGATGCTTGCACTGCTGTGGTCGGAATTGCTTTGGTTTCATTAGATGGCTGCTTCAATTCTGAGTGGTGGGAATTTGATACTGTTTTATTAAATTTGTGTATCTTATGGGTTTACCTCTGATGAACTGTGATTGGGCAGGACACAAATGCAGTAAAAGAAAGAGAATAACACATCAGAGCAACCCAGGCTAAGCAGAGGGTGGGAAGAGGAAATGCACAGACATTGGAACATCCATTGACTCAGGCGAATAAGTAGGTAGGAATAGGTAGCAAACCTATACCTACTTATGGAAGAGAAAATCCCATTGAAAATCCCATGGGGCTTACTTGTAAGTCGCAAGGCGCAGGATTTACCGCTAAATACAGCTTCTCTGAAGCCGGCATAGTGGAAAGAAATGGACAACTAAGCTGTCCAGGAGGCTGATGCAAAGCCAAGCCCTGAAAAGAGACCGTTTGGAGGGAATGCATACAATGCAGGCGGCGGCAAGACCTAAGGCCACACAAGAAAGAAAAGAAAAACTTTGTTCCTATCTAAAGGCTGGCATGAAGACAGGCCCCGTACACTAGGTTTCTGCTCGGTTGGCTTCTCCTCGCTTGCACTAAATTTGGTAACTGTTTGCTATTTCCAAGGACAGGCTCCCCTGCTGCAGCTTCGTACAAACTAGCCCCGCCCAGGACTTGTGTACTGTGTGAGTGGCTACCGGGCTGATGTTTTGCTCCCCATCCTATCGCTATACACCGCAGGTGTGTGTGTGTGCGGGGGGTGGGGTCCTTTTTTAGGCAAAGGACCAAATTCCATTTCAGGTCCCTGCTTGGGTGACAGTGCTGTCATCCTACCCAAGTTTACTCAGAGGTAACACCTACTCTACCAAGTGGGGCTTATTCCCAATTCTGCTGGCACGGAATTTCAGTCCATGGATTGTTTATTTGCCGATTGTGGTCCGGCGAGGGTCACACCTGAGTGGGGACCGGAACCGGATCTGCAATATAATTTGTATTGTTAAACCATCCCGAGACTTCAGTAATGGGATGGTCTAGAAAAATTCTAAATAAAGTCGAATAAATAAAATAAACACCCCAACCATGTCACGCTGGCACGGTGATACAGCCCTGGAAGCAAACCAGAAGCCATGCAATCGCTCTAAGATTGGCATCATACAGTCTGAAAGCATACGCCAGAAAGCAACCTGGCTGCAGCCCTTCGTGCCAACTAGTCTCGGGACGCTGTTCAAGGGCCACCCAGCCTGGAGCTTGCTGCAGTAATCTACTTGCCACTTTTGCAGGTCAAAAGAAGCATGAAATCAAGATATGGAAGACTTACTGTTGGGACTGCTTCTCGGCTAGCTCGTTGGTTTTCTCCTAGAAGAGTAGGAGGAGAGAGACAAGCCAACAACAGGTGTGAATACACGCCCCTGAGGCAGGCAGTGGAAGAGAAAATGCCCCAGTCTACACCGGGAGTCCTGACTTTCCTCGCCAGGTTCTCCAGATGTCTCTGATCTGAAACAGGCTGGGAAAAGACCGATCCATCCATCCATAGCCCAAGGGCAGTCACTGCCGCCCATCCTCAGCCCCCACAGGCTCATTCCCAGCCCCTGCATCTTCACACCACCCCCAGAACCGCTACTGACCCAGACGGTCCGCTGGATCATCTTGGCCGCCTTGAGGAGCAGCTGGCCAAAGTCTCCCGGCTTGAAGTGGCTGGCAGAGTGTTGGATGCAGAGACACAGCAGGAAGGCCGGGGTGAGCTTGTGGTCATCCCCCGTGGGCTCCAGGAGCATGAGGATTCTTCGCAGCAGCAGGTCCTCGTCGGCCTTGTCGAACTCCAGCTGCAGCTTCCTCCGGCCGCCTCTCCGGCCGGCCGGCAGCTGCAGGTCCTGCTTCCTGGGTGCGGCAGCAGCCCTGTCCTTGACCTGGCTGCCACATATCTTGCAGGCCGAGGACAGCTCCGGCTCCGAGGCCCGGCGCACGGCCCTGAGCCGCATCAGGGTCTGGGCGGGCAGCGGCTGGGTTTTCAGCGGGTCCTTGTAGAGGAACAGGTAGTAGAGGCCCAGGGAGACGAGGTCTCCGTGATGCAGCGTCACCGTCCTGCCCACCTCGGAGAAGTTGACGGAGACGCTGGCCCCCGCGATGGGCTCGAGGACGAGCTTCTCTTCCGAGCGGTGCCGTGAGCGGCCGGACACTCGGACCCGCCGGATGGTGCAGTGGAGCGGGAGGATGTCCGGGGCAGAAAGGCTGATGCCGGGTTTGCTGGCTTGGGTCCTTTGGCCGACAGTGTGCTGGTCGCGGTTCAGCAAGTAGACCAAACTGTCCTGCAAGAGAAACCACATGGGCACAGACAAGGAGACTGCCTTGCGGGAGGCATCGCGCTTTGCAAGTGGCAGAGCGCAGCAGGAAACGTGACAGCAAAGCGGGCACTGCCCGTTCCATCAAAATCCACCCCAAGCAGCCCTTCCAGCTGGCCGTACAAAGAGAAGCAAAGCCCTGCTTGAAAGACTTTGCTCCTTTCCTCCGAGTCCCTCCCCTCTCCTTTCCCCTGTGCGATATTTTTTGCCGGGTTTATTTTAGACTGTAACCCTGTGGATAGGGAGTGTTGTATTTTAGGGTTCTATGCAAGCCACATCTGCCTGGAAAAGGAGTCAAGTAAAAATACCTTAAATAAATAGAGCACACACACACACCACAAAATAGAACATCAGGCCCCGTTCAAGAAAAGCAATGCTCACAAGCATGTTTGCCCACACTGGCTAAAGGCTTCAGACCCTTCTTAGCAATAGCCTTCCATTACTTGCTGTTGCATTGAAAGAAGCTGGGAGAGATCATCCATCCATCCACTCTCTACGTGTCCTCCTCAAATGCATCCTCTGGGGGCAAGCAGAAAAGGGGCTGAAAGAGACTCACGTGTTGCTGGTTGTAGCCCTGCAGGAGCAGGAGGTGTGGAAACTGGTACAAGGAGTGCCTCACGCTGCTGCCGTTCTGCTCCTCGGTGGAGACCAGCTGCCCCTCGTGGGCCTCCTCCAGACACTGGATGGTCTCGGGCAACGTGGAGCAGTGTCTTTTCAGGCTTTCCCCCTCTCCTTCGTCCTGCGTGCCCACCTGGCTGAGGCTGGCCTCACTGACCGTGCGCCGGAGGGTGGGTGGCGTGGCGTGGCCCTTACAGGCCGTCAGGAGGGTCATGTTGCCCTTGGCCCGGTTCCGCTGGAGCTTCCGGGCCTGGGCATTTATCCCTGGGGAAAACGAGAGGTATTCAAGGCCAGCCATCTGAAGAGCATTCCCTTTTAAGGAAGAAAGTGGGAGAGAGTCTACACTCTCTGTGCATATACAGGGCCTTCTCTCCCGTGGCACCACAGCTTTGGAACACCCTCCCTACGAATTGGTGCCAACTTGGTTTTTTCTTTGGAGTGTCCAGGGAAAATGTTTTGTTTTGCCCAGGCATGTTAACAGTATTCACATAACTTGTGAATAGTTGTTAACATTTTAAAGTTTGGTTATTTTCCAAGCGAATTGCTTGTTGTGTTTTTGTTTTGCTTCCTGGTTGAAGAGTTGTTCTTTCACTAGCTTTTCAAACATGATTTCTTGTTTATTTTTAACATGGTCTACACTATCCTGGGATCCAGCAGATGAAGAGGGGTTTGTACATTTAGCGGGCAATCCTATGCAGAAAAACATTCATGTGATTGCACCTTCTTCAGTCCAAACATGCTTATTTAAGAGATTCTGCCTTTTATTAAGCAAGGATTTATAGCCCTCCTTTTTTCTGGCCAAGAACTCAAGGCAGCTTATAGAATCCTTCTCTTGAATTCAACCTCACAACAACCCTGTGAGGTAGGTCAGGCTAAGAGTCAGCGACTGGCACAAAGTCACCTCGCAAGCTTCATGGCTGAGTGGGGACTAGAACCGCGTGTCTCAAGTCCTGTTCTGATACTCCAACTGCTACACTGTGCTGTTTTTCAAATACATATCTCTGGAAATACACACAGATCAGAGATGGTCAGAGCAGAAAAAGGAGGGAATCACTGATTTCCACCAGAATCAAACATCTCCAGCCTTCACTTGCACACCTTCACTGGTCCCCTTCCCACGCCATGCACAAAGCTAGAGCAAAAAGTCTGTCCAGGCACCTGGCATACCGAAAGACCAAACGATTTCCCCCGAAGCAGCACGGTTTTGCACCATTCCCTGGTCTCCGGTTACCCCTTCCTTCTCCAACTCTCCTGCTCCCCTCCTCCTCTTGCTGCCGAAGGCAATCCATCCCAGATCTTGTGCAGCCACCCTTTCCCAGTTGACTAGGATCGTGCTGAAATGCAGCGAATACGAGAATAAGAAACATGCTGGCCGAGAAGGGCTGAGAGACTCGTTTCCTTACCGTGAACTCGTCTGGAGAGGGTCTTGAAGCCCCTGACATGCGGTAAGGGCACCTGTCAGTGTGCTGGCTGGCTGGACCTGCAGACTGCAGCAAAGGCAGAGCTCTCCCGCTGCAGCAGCGAGAAATAATTAACTTGTCTCTTCCGAGAGGGGGGGGGGGGGGGGGCTGTCAGGAAGACAAATGTGGCGCTTGGAACAGCTTGGGAGCACAGGCACTAAAGCCCAAATTGTCTCAGAGAGGCGAGTCCCTCCCCTCTCCAAAGTGGGACAACCTCCAATAGGACAGTCCTTGCCCTTCTGTTGCCAACCTGTCTAGCGGGATGTAACATCGAGGCAAAGTTAAGGCTAGGCTGCTGGCAATCAAAGAAGGTCCAAGATGGTTTTTGTGCCAGAGGCCAAGAATCCACATTTACCATCCCTCCAAATACAGTAAGGAAAGAAATAATTGCTATTTTGGGCACCAACCTGCTTGCTGCCACCTGCCCAATGGCAGAGCCAGCCCTGATGGGTAATTCTTGTACCTTTCATTCACTGTTTCCTCCGCAGGGAAATCACTTCTGTAGCATGAACCTTTGCTCGATGAATTCCACAGTTTCCTTTTCCCACGATTTTAGTATTTTAAAGTTCTTTTTCTTGGCTTCTTCCCACAGTTTCCCATGCAGTGATAAAAACAAAGAAGCAAAACCCCTGCAGCCTAATCGTACGCAGAATACAGGATCTAGGAAGAAAGATCTACTCCTCTGCAGGATTTGCAGGTAGAAAGAAGAAACCTCGCTGTTCCAGTCCGCGAAAGAGCGGACAAAACCCTCCACACTGGATGCATAAAAGGTCCGCACTTTGCTCCCAACTTACAACCTACCTTATTTGGTGAGAAACTGCCTTGGAGTTCTGAAATACTTTCTGCTTGTTTGTTTTCAAATCCATCCTTCCCTTGCTGGGAAAATTAGAGAGGTGGCCAGAGAAGGGGGGGGCTGGTCCCTCCTGTTTACATGCCTCAGGGTTAGGACCAGGGCGGACAAACACAACACGGAGTTGTCATGTGATGGGATGCAGCCATTTCGTGCCAGACTGGGGTCCTGCAAACAGATAAGCGGCTGTGCTTTTTCCCAGGCTGTCCGGCACGAGCAAGAAGAATTCTTTGTGGACCGCGCTATACTATACATGTGGACAAAAAGTGGCCAGAACGCAGGGTTGGGGGTCCCCTTTGCTTAGGGATCACATACGGATCAAAGAGTTCCCATGATTTTCTGGCAGACACCCAGGGAGTAGGTCTAGAGCAGTCCCAGAGGCTCTGCTGACATCCTCCAGCTCTCCAAACAGCCGGGAAAAGCAAAAAGCCAACCTAGAGCTCCTTCAGAAAGCGGAAGAACACCCAGATCTGGGCCACAGCTCCGGTTGTCCCCAGGTAGGGTGTCTAGCCAAGTTGGCTGGAGCTGATGAGTGTGTCCCTGCTTCCTGTTTCTCCCAGTGCATCCTGTCTTTGCTCCAAGGAGCCCCAGGTGGTGTCTGTGGTCCTCATCCTCTCCAGTGCGGCCACCCTGGCCCTTGGAGATGTGGCCCCGGCATCTGGAAAGGACCAGGTTGAGCAGGGTGGCCTGCATTCGCATCCCGAGGCTCTTTGTGAATGGGGCGGCATAGAAATGCTTTAAATCAATCAATCTGCATTAAAAGCCGGGTTGCTCCAAGAAGGTCAGCTACCTGGGGCTCCTTATGGGATGTCGTGGTGCTCCAGAGAACGGGGTGCTCTGGATGGGTGCTTTCCCTGATACTTGGAAAGATACCTGAGCCCTTCCCAAATATCTCCTGGAGGTAATTAGAGCCAGGACCTGGCAGGTCCGGGGAAGTTCAAAGGAGGCTGAGTTGAACCAAGGGGTTGACTTCTCCAGGATGTGGCTGGTCACCCAGCTGGACCACTTGAAAATGGACTGGACACATTCCTGAAGGGGACGGTGATCCATGGCCACTAGTCCTGATTGGCCCCTCTGTGAAGAGAAGGCTGGACTACTTGGAGCCAGGGACCAATCCGGGGAGACGCTTCCGAAGTCCTTCTGCGCCATCCCATAGTGAGTGTTTCTAAGTTGCAGAGAGCAGGATGGAGCGGGGAAGCCGGAGGCGCCAGCTAAAGATCCCTGCATGGAAATTGCTCCACACAGGTGCTGGCAGCTCCCACAAGGATGCCTGGGATGCAGCTTTCCCTAGCTTGGTGCCACCAGACCTTTTGCATGGCAGTGGCCAGCATTCCTGGCTCCTGGGCATGCTGATGGGAGCTGCAGTCCCAAGCAGAGATCTGGAAGGCCCCAAGCTGGGGGAAGCCGCTGGGTCTGCTGTTAAGTTGGACCTCAGGAAGGCAGGATTTGATTGGCAGAACTTGCGTTTTGCTTCGTTTATTTTTTTTCTCGGGGGGGAAATGCATTCCTAGCTAGCATACCACTGCAGAGCCCTGCCCCTCGCGGCCCGTTCGGCAGCCGCTTCTCCGAAACGGATTCCATCCAGAGAAACACACAGCAGTTCACCTGTGACCACCTCTGGCCGTTCGAAAACAAAACGTTAACCCAGCCCAGGCAGGGGCCTCTGTTGGAAGGAGTACCGACATTTTGGAGGGTTGGTTTATACCATTTTCCTGCACAGTTTTCCAAATCTAAAATGCCACCGCGCTCCCGCAACCCCTTCCTATTAGCCACATGGGGTGGGGGCAGGGAGAAGAGGCAATCAGCCCCCACGAAGGAGACCCAAAGAGAACACATGCATGCATACGATTTGCATATGTTAATATAATGGCGTAGTGCGCATTTAGGAAAAAGGGATCTTGCCGGGAGCAGAAATGCCGTCGCCTGAAGCTACAGACAACTGTTCTCCTCAAACTGGGATTGGAATGGACAGCCCTTCCAGGTGGCCTTTCTAGCAGAGGACTGTCATCCTTAAAATAGGACACCTGGCCAGTAAGCCAACCTCACAGCTTTGAAAAAAAGAACTCAACTTGGAAGGTGAAACACCTCCTTCAGTGCTCCACGCCACACGAACACGACTGCTTCCAACTAAAATGGGAGCCCCTAACATGGATTCCTTGCATGACCTCTGTCTGTTGAGAACAGCCACCAAAGGACCATGTTGCAGAGTGGTTAGAGGGCTGGGCTGGGACTTGGGTGATCTGGGTTCGAGTCCCCAGACAGCCATGACACTCACTGGGTGACTTTTGGCTTGGCTTGGACTCTCAGCCTGACCTACCTCACAGGGTTGTTGTTGTGAGGGTAAAATAGAGAGGAGGAAAGACTCTTAACGGGCCCTGGGCTCTTTGCAAGTGGAAGGCCAGGGTAAGAACACAGGGTGTAAGTGCAGGGGAGCGATGATGATGAGGAGGAGGAGGAGCAAGTGAGAGAGAGAGAGAGAGAGAGAGAAGCATCCCACTGCTCACACGAGACTGGAATAGGAACGAGCATCTTGCTGAGGCAACGCCAGCAGCCCCAAACAGAGAGCCTGTCAGCCCGCAAGGAGAAAGTGCTGAGCAGGGCGAGAGGAGCGGCTTCTGCATGAATGGTCGACGCAGCTGCCAAGTTATTTCTGGCAAGCCGGAGGAGCGAGGCCTGGCCGAGGAGGTACAGGCTGCAAAGTACCGATTCCGATTCTGGGGGCTGGTGATTCAGGAAACCGGGAGAGCCAGCGGGCCTGGGGCCACTTTGTATCCCCATTTCTCAGGGCTGGCTCCCCGGCAGGCGTGGCTGGGCCGCTGACAGAAGGCCCACCCCCAGCAGGGGCCCACGGGGAGGAGCCCCCCCATCGCAGTGCTTCTTCACCTCCGCAAGCCGCTTGCTGCTCCGGCCCAGGTGGAGGTGAGGAGGAGGACCAGCCCCCTGGCTCGCTGGCTCTCTGCCCCTTGAGGAGGCAAGCAGTACCCGCTGTGAGAAGGAAACCAAGAAGCAAGAGCAGCTGGGGCCCCGGTCCGGCTGGACGAGTTGCCTTTCTGCTTCCTGCTGCCACACCTGAATCTTTCTGCTTGAGACGTTTTCGGAAATCAGATGCCCTCCTCTCCTGCCCACGCATCTGGTCTCACCAATAGGAGCATCTCTCTAGAGACAGAGGCTTCAGCAAATGCTGATGTAAATTCGCACATGCAAACTTCTGCGTTTTCTCCCTCGGCTGGTGGGCCAGAGCCCTGGAACTTTTGGTACTTTCCACAGACTCTCGGGGGCTGAGCCCTTCTCCTCAAGCCGAGCTCTCGTTGTGGTTTCCACCAAACACGTCATTAAAGCTGTTACAAGCAATACGCGAGTTCATCTGCACACTTCCGCCAGGTGCAAGTGCAACTCTACACTCCCACAACGGACGTTGCTACGTTGCTCTGGGGATCCCAAGAGGCAGGAATCGTATCATCATCACCATCCTCATCCCAACCCACTGGCCTTAAGTCTTCCTTATTCCAGAACTGGCCTTCTTTGTTTAACTCTTGCTTCCCCACTTTGCTTTACAAATACATTCAAAGCGACTTGTAGATAAATTTGGAACAATCTCATTAAAAAAAACCCCACAATGCATATGAAAAAGGAAAAGCCATCTGCAATCGATATCCACCAAAGGGGAAAGAGAAGTTTGAATCTTTAGTAGCCCGGAGACCGTGCCCTCCCTTCTCTCTACCCCTTTGCTGGTGAAAGGGCCCAGTTTCGATCTTCAGTCCAAATCTTGAAATATGCTTCTGCCTTTCCCATGATAACAGACCAAGAAAAGGAAATGCTAAGGGGGCAGTTAAAAACCTTGTTCAGGGTTTGCTTTTAGGCTTTCCTGCTAGAGAAACTGTGAGCATTTAGTTTTCCTTATCTGCAGGAAAGGAAGCTTCTGTATTGACTTTACCTACCAAAAACCAAGTTGGGGAACATAAAGGAAAACAGTGCACAGAATTTTTACAGTAGATAGAACTCCAGTTTCAGGCGCTGTGAAAACTCCCCTCCCCATGCTGGAAAAATAAACACAGAACTTTTCCGGAACATAACAAACGCCTTCTATACCTCTTTTTGGCACCAATTTCTCTCCCATCCTCCTGTAGATTTGGTGTTTGCACACCCACTCTCTGTGTGCGAATGTGTGTGTAAAACACATCTACCATACCAAAGAATTCTGCCTGAGCTGCACAACCAAATGTTCTTCTAATCTGTTGTGCTTCGGGTTTCTGCACTTTGTGAAGGCCGATCTGCAGCTTTCATAGCCAAGATGGGATTTGTTTGTCCTTCAGTCTGAGAAATATTCAGAAATATTCGGAAACGTAAGGAACTGACAATGTGTTACTGGCATCCCCAGAAAAGTGCAGTGTGTGGAGCAGCGATCTGTAGTGGTTAGAGTGCCCAGGCAGGACTTGGAAGACCCGGGTTCAAATCCTTACTCCCCTGTGAAGATCAGCAGGTGAGCTTCACTGAGTCTTTCTTTACCTAATCTGCCTCCAGAGGTTTGGAACTTCAACGGCCAGCTTTCCTGACCATCGGCTATACCTGCTAGGGTTCATCGGAGTCAAAGTTCAAAATATGTGTAGACCCATAAAGGTTCCATTCATCCTGCATCAGAAGATGCAAGAAAAAAGGATTAAGGCAGAAATCCCGAAAAATGCTTCCTAGGGAGGAAGCTTCTGAGTTGTTTCTGAGTTAAGCTACCTACAGCTGCCCTTTTAGGGCAAATGGCCACATTTCAGCCTGAAAACCAGATGTGGCTCATGGGAAGTGGTACTCCTCCTAGCACCGCTCTGTGGAGGGCGACCAACTTGCATTTTCTGAATCATGGATACAGATGAATAGAGATCTTTCTGCATGTATGTTGTCCATGTTTGTGGACGGATGGACGGACAGACAAATGCAGCCTGTGTGGCTGGTAAGGGTGGGCCACACTGAGGAACTGGCTCTGCTTGCGCTTGGTGGACGCTCCGCACCTTGACTACCTGAGAGGAGAAAACAGGTCAAGTTGGGGGTGTTTTGCAGCTCTCGTTTCTGGCAAAGGCCACAGTGTGCATATTTGTTTTCTGTGAAGCTCAGCTGCAATTTGTCTGCATTCAATGTTGAACAAAAAGGATAGGAAAATAATGAATAACATCCCACTTTCAAAGACACGTGTGGGCTGAACTAACACCCAAGTGAACCAGCACTGGCTCTGGGTTGCAAGACCAGAATTCAGGGGACCAATCCAGGCCATTCTGCCAGGTGCTGAACCCCAAACCAGATTCCTCACGCATCCCCTGTGGCAGAATTATACTAGCTCCCTGCTCCCCCGCCTCAACAGCACGACTTTCAGCCTCAATTGTATGACTTTATGCTGCAATTTGCAAAATCTAGGAAAGCAGCCCTTCTTAGAAATCCAGCGGGAGTCCATCAGAAATACAATTCCTCCTGCAATCTTCACACATGCGCACACACCCTGTTCTACCCACACGCCTCATTCACACATTTCAGGGGAGCGGCGCTTGACATTTCTCATCCACATGACGTTCTGCATCCAACTAGCCTCGGCGGAGGGGGATGGTTGGAGAAGTTTAGGAAAGAAGCAGAACACTGTGAAATAACTCGACTGTTGCAATCCTTTTTCAGGCTTTGAAAGGTACACCTTTCAGTTCAGCAGTAAGGACGCGTTCCCCAGGTTCAGCCATCTCAGCCCCACCCGGACAAATGTTCCACAGCAGCTGCTTTTGGAGATATTGGGGATCTTGGTCAGGACAATGGTTCTGACCAGGGACAGCATGCAGGGCTCTGTTCCTCTCCTTCTGAAGGACCTCCTCTTACTCGTCTGTGAGCCTCCGTCCACCAATGCCAGCAGGACACTGGAGGCTTACCCAAGACAGGGCCTTTTTGATGGTGGCACCAAAACTGACCCAAAGACGCTCCATTCCCTCTCTGTTCATGCTGAAGTGGCAAACAGAGGCTGTACTTTTGCAGAGGACCTTCAAAGGGCTCTCCATAGTCGAGAGGCTACTCTGGATGTCTTTCTGCTGCCTGACAAATGAATTTCAGGCTTGTGCATCTGTTTGCCATTTTGCTTGAGGATTACTTTTGCTCTCACAAGAACTGCTGCCTCTTTCTTCCTGAATTTGCCAGAGAACTCTGCTTCCCTTCCAAGGCAATTCCCTCTGTCTTCCCAACTACTCCTGCCCCACCATCAGAAGTCTGACAAAGAGGCGCGAGAGAGCAAGATAAGAGAGAGGAAGAAACTAAGCATCACCATCTCTATTATATTTAGGTGACCCTCCTTAAATATCTCTTGTTTAAAATGTAGGATGCAGATGTTCTGATAGTCAGAATAATCAATTCTCTATCCCAAATTCAATAAATTACACTGTGGTCCTTTGTGGTCTGCGGTTGTCAGGAAGCAGAACAAGTTAGGCAGAAAATAGATCTCCGGAAGCATTGGACTCCAACTCCCAGCATCCCTAACCACTGGCCATGCTGGAAGGAGCTTCTGGAAGTCCCCAACATCTGGCAGTCTTCACTTCTAGAATACATTCTATCCAACAGTAACATCTGCCAAAAACATGCAAAATACAGAGAAATGTTTGCTTATTTTGCATTCAAGACGCTGCTCTTCTTGAAAAAATTGGAACTACCTTCATGCAGAATTTCTGTTAGCACCTGAGGACACAAAGACCCGAGCATCCGCTGAAAGCCATAAAATGTCAAAACAGAATGGGTGTCATGCTTCGTCTGGGGTTGCCTCCATCATTAGAAGCTTGGCCCCTGAAATCTTACAATGGGGAGCCACTCTCAAAATCAGATCGTCGGCAGCATATGCACCAAGTCAATGCCCCGCCATTTTTAGCTGGGAAGTCGTTCTGAGCTGGTGGCTGGCAAGGGGCTGTCACTAACTAAAAAGCACCAGGCTGCCTGCCTGACAGCTGCTCAAAACCGGTCCTGCCTGCAGTCATAAGTTCGTGTGATGCATCACTGATATCAAATTTGGAACATCTGCTGCTTACTGCCCTCCCTTCTGCGCCTGAGGGAGTACAGACAGACAGACAGACCCAGGGCAAAGGACGCTCAGCAAACAGCCCATGTCTTTGCTAAACCTTGACTCCTTCAACCCTGCAATGAAGGTTTCATCATCAAGAATTAGTTCGCTACAGTGCTGTAGCAGGCCTTGAGAGCTTCCGTATTAGTGGAAGAATTTTCCTTGGACTGGGTACATCACAAATTCATCTTGGGGATGTTGCAAATTCTGTGTGTGCCTCGCCAAGACTGAGATCAGCATCAGGGGCTCTAGTCACTGGGTACTAAAACCTGTTAGGCTGATGGGTACTAAGGTCAGAGCCTTCTCAGCAGTGGCCCCACACCTCGGGAATCCCATTCCCTGGGAGAAGAGAATCACAGAGTGGGAAGGGACCCTGGAGATCATCTAGACCACCTGCAGGCCTGACCCTGGAGATCATCTAGACCACCTGCAGGCTCGCACTCTGCAACCACAGCTGCCCCAGCAGAGCCTCGCCTTAAATATTTTCAGCAAGGGAGAACCCATCACCTCACAAGGCAGCTTTATTCCACTTCCTGAACAGCCCTTACATTTAGGATGCTTTGCTTTACATTCACCCCAGATCTGCATCTTTGCAACCTCCAAACAGCAGTTCTAGTCTCGCCCTCTGAAGCAACATGCCTGACAGCTTTCAGATCTTGGAAGACCACAGTCATGTCTCTCTGTCCCCTTATCTCCAGGCTAAACCCTGCCAGCTCCTTTAATCACTCCCTGTAGGAAGCCAGTGATCTGAACCATTCCTCATTTCCAGACCCCTCACCATTCTGGACCTGCTCCAGAATGTCAACATCCTCCTTGAAACGTCCTCCAGAATTTGACACAGTTCTGCAAGACAATCCTTTAATGAAGAATAGAGCCACACGACTCTTTCCCATGGCATTTTGCTGCTGCTGCTGCTGCTGCTCGCGCAAGCTAAAGTTGCATCAGCTGCTTTTGCCACTGCATTGCACCGCTAGCTCCAATCCATCTTCTGCAATCCTATGCCTATTCAGACAGGAAAAAGTCCTGGAGTTCCCAGCACCCCCCAAACTCCTTCGAAATGCAGTAAAGGGGGTGCCCACCTGGACTTGCTTGCTTGCTTGCTTAAGTACAGACAAAATCCTGCACATGTTTAGATAGAAAAGAAGTCTGCCGGCTCCCAGCAAGCATGTTGGCCTTTCTTCTTGTCTAAACAGATAGAGGGCTGCCTCCTAAAACCCCAGGGTCCTTTTTCCATGTACTAATGTCCTAGCCAGGTTTGACTCATCAGTGCTAGATTTAAAATTACAAAACAAACACTTCCAAAGCCACATTCATTCTAGCCTGCACTGGATACGTGAAAAAAGCAAGCAAGCGAGCACCCTATAGCTGCTGCTACGTTTTGTAATCGTATTACCATGCGTTTTCTAATCTTGATAGCCACCTTGCAAGGACAGAGTGCCTGAAAGGAGGGCTTTAAAAGCCCTTGCAAAATCTTCCGCAGGTTAAGCCTACTTGTCAGGCCTCTCTCCAGAGGTCGCTGCCCTTCAGCCAAGGGTCTTGCTCCATCTGTGACCCTTTGGAGAGCTTCCTCGGAGTCCTTGCTGCTCCGGCAGCCATCCTCCTCCTCAGCAAATTAGCACCCTCTCTTCCTGCCCCCGCCTGCCCCCTTCTGCCACCCTCCATCCCTCCAGCTTGCAAAGCCCAGAGAAAGGATAAGAAGAACTCATCCAGGCATCAAAGCAGAAATTAGCTTCCTAGAAAAGAACCCTCCGAGCCGCTGTGAAAGTTTTGCTCTCCTTTGGCCCTTCGGCCAAAACGGTTCCTCCGCTGGCAGCTGAGCTAGGGTGACTATTAGAAGGTAACAGGACCCCTGGCATTGTTAGTATTCTTGCATTAAGTTAAAATCCCCTTTCTCCCTCTTTCAGGGCCGCTTACATGGCTCTTCTCACCTGCTTTATCCTCACAGCAGCCACCCTGCAAGGTAGTCCAATCTGACAGTGAGCAGTTCCACACTGGATGAAAAGTTCCCAGCATTCCTGGGCTTCTTGCGAGTAACCTACAACATGTGAGTAACCTCCCAAGCACACCCCAAGACTCTTCCAGACACCCAGCACATTCCACAGCTGCAGGAATGCTTCATCCACGTTTGTATCTGTTCCTTCCCCCTCAGGTTTCACATCGCAGTGGTGCTGAGCAGAGGCCTTGAGGGACAAATCCAGTTGGTCCAAGGAGAAGTCCAGCCCACCAAGTTCCTCAAATGGCTACCCCTTCTCCCTGGACACTCCCTTTCCCCACAACACTGATGGCCTGGTGGTTGCCCATCTTTCGTACCTCCCTCCCTGCCCATTCGAAAAGGTCAAAATGCCTCATGCAAGGTTTAATTACTGGCAGGAACAGCTTTAAGCTAAACACACTGGTATCCTTGATCCTTATTCCTTTAGCCTTGGCCCCTCCCCTTTTTCATTTAGCTCCGCCCACCATCAAGATGTGGCCCGCGGAACAGAACGTGGCCCTCGGACTGCAAGCAGTTCTGCACCCCTGTTTTTTTGGCTGCTTAAGTTTTAACTTTGCAACAGATGCAAGACGGTGGTTGGACAAGGGGATGAGTGAGGATTTGAACCCAAAGCCCCAAGTCCTGGCCTCATCAGATCACAGAGGTCTTTCTCCTGGGACAGTTTCTCCCGAACTTTAGAGCAGCGACTAAGACAGAGCAAACCTACACAGGTCTGCTCCAAAGAAAGACACCACTCCGTGCCCGTATTGGCCTTATCAGCCACCTGCGGACACACCGTGGACAACTCACAATCCGTTAGATGTCAAGGTCCTCATCGAAAACGATGGACGAACATCATCGTCCTCCTTCCTCACTGGGCAGGAAGCCGCTCCGGTTCCCTTGAACACAGAGAGGCTCTGGCACCCAGGCCTTTCCGATCTCCGGCACGTCTTTTCTCGCAACCAAATAACTATCCAATTCCCGTGATCCGCTAACGTGAAACAGACATGGGTCTTTCTTGCACCGCGTGCTAGACCCAAGACCAACATGGGCCAGGTTCCATTCCAGCAGAAGCAAAACTCATCATGCAGAAGGGGAATTTGGCCACATAGGCAAAAGCCGCTGAAGAAATAAAAGCAGAGGGGAGTCGCGCTTGTTCAGGGTTGTTTCCTGAAAGTCTGTCGATAGCCTTTATGATCTAAGTGGCAACACTGGCAGAAGGTGTTGAGTGGAAAGAATGAGCAGGTGATTTTTTTTGCTGATGAGGTCAAGGTTTATTTGGAGGCTGAACCATCAGTGGTGTGTGTGATCGTGGAGGGAGAAAAACATTTGAAAATATGGGCTCTGCCAAGGACAAAGTAGAGCCCCACTGTAGAATTAGTTTCATAAATTAGGTTATGTGCATTCAAATCAACTTGATCCATGCATCCCAAAATAAAGTCCAGTTTACAAATTAGTAGCCTACCAGCTTTCCTGCATCTGAAACTCCTGATGCAGTTCTTGGCTTAAAAACAAAAGGATCAATACATGTTTAAAAATGCAAACACGGAAAGAAAATCCGCTTAAAATGCATATGTAAAACCACAATGTTTGCAAATGTGCTGCTTCAGAGAAAATGTGCTTTAAAATCTGGGCTTTTCTCCCTTTAAAAAGGAAGACAGAGGGATGTGGAAAAGCGGAGAAGGAAACAATCGACAACATGCAGAAGTGACAGGCTGCAAATGGGCAAATTTCTCCAACCCAACGGCAATCTTCACTGTGCAGCTCTTGTGAGATGAGGATCGAGTTTCATCTCAGAGATTCATGGGCTGCATCCAAAGCGTGGGCCCCAAAATGCTTCCATACTGGAACTTAAAGCTCTTTGCTACAAGCGACTATGCCACAGGAGAGACATTTTGCCCTTACGGGATGGGAGGAAAGCCCCCCAAACAATCCAGGAAAGGAGGAGAGGCCCGGAGAATTTGTGGGGCTCAGGAGGGCTTGACTGGGCTCCTGGATGCAGGTTCCCCACCCTTGCTTTACCAACCGTCCTGTTCCAACTCTGAGCCTATTCTCAGCTCTAACCTCCAATCTTGATAGAGCTTTTCCCATAAAGAGAAAGAGAACAAGCCAGTGCAGTGTGGTGGTTAAGAGCGCAGGTCTGGGACTCGGGCGACCTGGGTTCGAGTCCTCGCTCAGCCAGGGCGACTGGGCCAGTCACCGGCTCTCAGCCCAGCCTACCTCACAGGGTTTTTGTTGTGGGGATAAGACTGAGAGCAGGACGAGGAGAACAATGGAAGCTGCTTTGAGTAAGAAAAAGGTGGTATATAAATCTAACAAGTAAACACACCAAGAGCTTGAGCAAGGGCAGCCTGCACCCATAACATGCAGCAATAAAGCTGGCTTTATTTCTGGCTTTGCTGGGCCTTTGGGCGGTGTGTCTTCCATACTGCAGATCATTGTTATTGTCCTTTGATGCAGAGCACTGGCAGCTCAAAATTCAGGTAGCGGATAGAGGAGAAACATGCTTCAGATCCACCCTACCCCGAAGAACCAAGGTGCAAAAGTGGAATTGGAAATCGCCCCCCTCCAAGAAAGCTACCAGTAGCTGCCCCTCCCTCCCACTCGCACTCCAAGCTACCAGCAGTGATGCCGCATGAGCCTTTCCCAGTCTAGTCCCTGTAGGAGCTCCGTTCCCCCCTTTGCTCTTCCAAAACCATTGGCAAAAGCATCTTTTTTAATATACGCCCAGCAAACGATGGCCAGTGCAGAAAGGCTTTCTGAGCATGCGCAGAGTGGTTTGGTGATCCCAAACTAGAAGCTATTTCTGAGAACTCTCCTTCTGAGTCACCCTGGCCCCTACCCTTCTGGCCGCATCCTGCAGGCGGCATGCCTCCTCGCCGTAGGCCAACCCTCAACTCTGCATCATGCGGTGAAGGATCAGGTCAGGCTCTCTGGCTCCTCTCCAGTGTCCCCTCCCAGCACTTCCGGCTGGTTCTCCAGGTCTTCCTGAACACCTGGAAAAGGCAGCCTTGAGATAAGTTCCTCCAGGTGCCTTACTACCCTTTCTTCTCTCCTTCATTCCCACCTTCAGTTCCCTCCCCTTCCTCTTTTGTATCTGCTGTGCTGAACTCTAAGAGAGTGGCAGGTATTCCAGTCCCTGGAGAAGGAGGTGTGATTGTAGACCAGGAGTGAACAAGGTGTGCCTCCCACCCCAGGTGCAGCCCCCCGTATCAGGAAGCCTGGCACAGGGTTGACCAGGAAGGAAGGATGGAAGGACGGAATGATGGACGGACGGAAGATGGTGCCTCACCTGCCGTGACGGTGTCTTTCTCCTTGGAGGCCAGCTCCTCCACTTCTGATCGCCTCCAGAGCTCGAAACGCCTGGAGAAGCCCTCCCGAGGCTTCCAAAGATCCTGGATCAGGAGCGGTTTCTCGTTGTCCCGGAGGACGCGCAGCCCCTCCGTCTGCCATTGCTTCTCTGAACCCACAAACTTCCCGATGACGTCGCACAGGACGTAGTGTCCGGCGTTCAGCTTGCTGAGCCCGTAGCGCTCAAGCGCTTCTTTCACCAGCTCCTGGGCGCTAGAGCTGGCCGTCGCCAGGACGCTCTTGTAGTGAGTGCCCGCACAGATGTGGCAGCCAAACACCTTGAGCACCCCGGGCGCCGAGACCTGCGTGGACAGCTCCGAGGGGTCCTCCTTGCCCTCTGTCGGGTAGGTGGCCACCGACCTGCGGTCCTTGTAGCTCAGCGTCCGATACAGGACCTGAGAAAAGATCCGGCTTTGCCGCTTGAACCTGTTCTTCGACGGCGGGGACATGGCCGAAGGCGACCTGTAGAACATCGCGCCGGAAGAGGTCATGTGTGATGGCTGAAAAGAGAGAAGGCCGGAGTTGAGCTCTGAGAAGGCCGAAAGGATAAACAGACAGCAGTGGCCACACAGAGGAGGTGGATGTGTTTGTCAGCGGGGAAAGACCGGTGCCTTCGTGACCCCAAGCCCAGCTAGAGTCTTGTCTCAGTCCAAAGCTACCGCTGTTTTTGGACATGTGCAAGGAGGACATGCACTGGAGTGACAGCTGGCAGCCACTCCGCTGGGTCCCCATGCTCCTAAGAAGTAAGAAATCTCTTCTTGAGCAAGAATAGGAAGGTGTCACCATGTGGCTGTTTCGGGGCTTCTTCCTGAACCTCACCAAAGAGCTTGGGCTAGAAGGCAGCATACACATCAAATCAATACATGGCTTTTTGATGGCTGCACGCTGATGAGCGTATTTGGATTGTTTTGGCTTGTTCACAACAGAAGGGTCAGCTTCATTTTTGAGGAGCAAATATGTTCCAGTAGGGTTCTAGGGAGGGCCACACCCCCTTCCTTGGCCACATCCCCTCCCTACCAGGCCACACCCCCTCCCTACCAGGCCACACCCTCTTCCCCAGCCTTTGTGTGTTTCCTCTACCTTAAAGACTCTCCTCTCGAATGATGCTCCTTCTGTGCTTTTACTGATATTGTTAGCATTTGTCATTTTTATCGTTGTTATAAATTCTGCCCGATTACTTATAAGGAAAGCAATATTTAAAATAAAATTTAAAAGCCCATAAATAAAGCTGCTGTCAGGTTAAAGCGGTTCATAGACATGCCTGCCGCTTTCCCTCGTAAAATGCAGGGAAATGAGATGAGGACCTCCTGGTTCAGTGAGACTGAATCCTGCAAGGGGGTAAAAAAATCACGGCGTGACGTGCCCCACAAAAACCAAGATGTGCAGATAGATATTTCAGAATGGGACATCTCTACTTACGTTCACACTTCCGCATGAGAAGCCATCTCGTGCATCACAGAGCACTGAGCATTCAGATACTACAGTGCGAGCCAATGTTGTGCAGAAGGGACCACGCAAGTGGATGATCCTAAATGCCATCTCCAGAAGACAGGATCTGCCTTGGATACACGGAGCTACAGGTCATGAATGTTGGGAGTGAATAATATAGCACTGGGCAGGACTCAGGGCCCTATGAGCTTGGTGTCTAACATGAAGTTTCTAGTCCTCATGGATGCAAAAATTTGCTTCAAAGGATGTGAGCAATTTCTAGTGACATCTGAGAAGTCAGACATCTGAAGCTGCCAAAACAAACCATTTGTCCTGTTGGTTGGGGGGTGGGATATGTAGTCTACCACATTGGGAAGGCTAAGTTCTACCCAGAGCAACCAGGGGTTAAACCTGAGCTCTTCTGCCTGCAATCAGATGTTCTTTCCACTCAAAACATTCCTTTATTCAGGAAAGGATGAATTTGACTCCAGAAAAAAGGAGGTGACATTTCAGCATCGAATGTAGTTCCTTGCCCAGACCTACTGTGCAAGTTGCCAGATTCTGCACCATGGGAGGACAGATTCTGCAACCTGAAAAAACTGTGCAAGGGAAGAAGATGGGAATGTTTCGTTTGCATAATTTATGCAGGTTGCAGAAGCTCCACATATTCATTTGGACCACCTTGGTGCAGAATGTTACATTCTCTACACGCATCATACACATGTCCTTAGTATAAGCTTACTCTGCCATTTGATTGGGTACTTTGCTCCAGTCAGAGGGGTACCGATTTCCTAGCACTTTCTAAAAGTATGTGCTGTTTTTCTCCCCCAGATCACTCATTTTTCAGCTTCAGCACTCTAAACGCATCCCAGAAAGCATAATCTGTGTATGTAACCAACATCCGTTCCCCAGAGACGATCAGGAGGTTAATGAAGTCTGCGGTGTGTTGGCTAGCCGCCTGCCACTGCTTTTTCATGACTCTGCCTTCTCCAAAACCATAGCCTGCAGCACTGTACAATTACACCTAAAACCTCTGTTTCTATTTTTACAGAAAAGAGCTGCCCATTTCTGTCCTTCGCTGTTGCTGATACACATCTAAAGCAAGGGTCCTGAAACCTCCGAACACAAATAAGGTAAGCAAAATCAAGAGGAAGTCTGGGTGGGAGGGTGCATGTGTCATGATTTCGCTTTCTCTCCTCTTCCTAGGAAAGCAGTGTCATTTCTGCACAATCTTTTGGGCAGTTCCTGTACAGTTCCATGTTACCAAGAGAGAGGAAACATGTTACTGTTTGCTTTGGACCAATTTGGCACACCTGGCTAGTCATCCTGAAGATTAGCGTGAAG